GTGGGTCTGAATATACACTTAAAAGCTGATACATCTGGTTAAGTTAAAAAAAAAAAAAACTTTGGAAAGAACTACCTCAAAGATGCAAGGGTTAGGGGGTGAACCTACATTGAAGAAAGTATTTACAATCAGGATTAACATCCAGAGAACTTTTTTTTTTTCCCCAAACAACACAGGAAAATGATGAGAGATGAACATGCTTGACACAGGAAAACTGGAACTGTCAATAAACATGTGAAAAATGCCATTGCCTAGTCATGTAGGAAATGCGCACCAGTGGGGGATCATCTCAGTTCCATTTTGTTATAAACAAAAAACTTCCAAACCCTGACAAAGCCTAATATGTTCAGGGTGTCCCCAGATGAGGATCCTTACATGGCAGCGTATAATGGATGGTGAACTGGTACAACCTAAGAGATGGATTTGGCAAAAACCTAGTAAATTTGAAAATGTCTGTCCCTTACAACCCAGAGGCTCGAAGACACTGTGTGCACACAATGAGGTAAGCACAAAAAGACCACATTGATGACCACTGTCATCCCCAAGAGAAAAATCAGACCATAAACTGATCAATATATATCAATAAGGACAGGTCTCAACATTGTGGAGTGAAAAGAGCAAGCCAAAGCTGTAACTTCTATGAGATAATTTACATGAACTAAAAACATCAATAACTATGGTCACATAATTATAAAATGTGGACTAGAGAGAGAGGTTCACAATAGGGCTGTCTATTGGGAGGAGAAGTAGGGAATGTGCCTGGAAAGGGTAAGAAAATGGGGTAAAGCTATCACAAATACCTACTTCACTGCATAAGATCTGATGCAAGTATTACAAAATGTTAGCATTGTGGGTGATGTAACAGTCCCTTTTTCCCCCAAAGAGATGGTAATATGGTTAGAGGACTCTAATACTATAGCCTACAGAATAATCCTAGAATGGAAGATTGGAAATTACTTTAGGATCATCCATTTTTTAAAAAGATATTTTTAGTTGTAGATGGACATAATATCTTTATTTATTTTTATGTGATACTGAGGATCAAACCCAGGGCCTCACACCTGCAAGGCAAGTGCTCTACCACTAAGCTACAGCCTCAGCCCCTAGGATCATCCGTTTTAATTCAGTGGTTTTTATACATCAGAGAACTATGTCCCAGAGAAGTGAAGTGACTTGCCTAAAGTTACATGGTTGGCTAGTAGCAAGGTCAGGGCTGTCATCTGGAATCATCACCATTGGGTGTGGCATTAGAGAGAGTTGAGGTTAGGGTTCAAGAATGCACATGACCTTATGAAAAATCAAGGAATGTGAGTTTTTAATATCTCCATATATTTTCATCTGTCAACTTCAGAGGCCAGAAGCTCCACCTCAGCACGAATGTTTCAATCAATGAACCCTAAACAAATACTGTGTCCTATCTTGCAGTAAAGCAGCAGGTACTTTATAAAATACCTCTTAAATTTGAGCAAAAAATCCTCAAAGCATTTTTATTAAAAAGTCTATAAGTCCCCCACTCCCTTTATCTACTTCATTAYCTGAGGTCAACCAAAAACATTAATGGAAAGCTTCTGAAATAACTCATTAGTTAAATTGCTGTTCTGAGTAGCATAAGATATTGTGCCATTCCTCTCCATTCCACCTGGATCATGAAACAAGCCCCTGTGTGTATCCAGGCTGTACACATATGCTGCCTGCCCCTTGGCAGTTGGGCAAAAGATAACGTTTGTGTAACTTTCATTATAGCTATCATTATATTATTCTACTTTATGATCATTTATTGTTGAGCCTCTTACTGTGCTTAATTTAAACTTTATCATAAGTATGTATATAAAAAATATAATACGATAATGTGTTGCTTAAGTACCAGGATATGTTCTGAGAAATGTTAGGTGACTTTATCAGGTGAATGCCATGGATACAATCCTAGATGGTAAAGGTCAATCAAAGCTGCTTGATGCAATGAAGAGATGTGGTAAACTTGAGATGTARGAGACCACTGCTGGCATAACTTGGTGCCAGTGTAGTGTTTCATAGTAAAATTTTTATAGGAGTAAATTAAAAAATGAATAARAGTCTAGGAAGTATATAAAAAGTTAACACAAATATGTGCCACACATATTTGTATGCTGTACTTTCATATGGAAAGCACTACAGGATTGTTCATACCAGCATCACCACAAACACATAAGATTTCACACTACGGCCTTATGATGGCTATGATGTCACTAGACTATAGGAATTGTCCTGCTCCATTATACTCTTAAGGGACTACCATTGTACAGTGGTCCCACTGTTCACCCAAATTCCATGGTGGCATCTGACCATGTACGTGATTTAACCAGGTACTAACCTCATTTTCAGGTATCCACTGCAGGTCTTGGAATCTCTCTATCCAATAAGGGGACCCGCTATAAAGGCAAAAATGAAAAACACTATGAGATGAACCTATTCTAAACATCAGTGTTACTGAGGTGAGACTAGAATTTAAATGGACTGAGGGTACTCAGTTTGAATAACTGTAAATCATGAATTATTCATGTAAAATCAGGTTACTTAAAGCCAACAATCTTCTGGCTGAGTGCTTTTAGAAAAACCATTATTTAAAAATTTACTAAAAACAGTAATTATAGTAGTACATATTCCTTTATTAGAATAAATTTCATCTTGGAGGCTTGAGTGTGACAGAAGTATCAAAATTTCCAGAACTGCATTATGTCCCACATATTTGTGATTCTCCTGCCTGACATTCTTTTAGATATTAATTTTTTAAAAAATCTACTTATAATGATCTGAGTTTAGGGGATACCTATTTTCAACATGAAGCTAAGTAACCCTTATGTAAAATGCTTGGGACCAGAAATATTCCAAACTGAGTTTCTCAAATTTTGGAAAATTCACATAGATATTACTGGCTAAGCATCCCTAATCCAAAATGCTATAAAATCAAACTCTTGAGCCTCGTGTCACTGTTTAAAAAAAAAAAAAATTGTGTTTCAGACCTCTTTGGATTTTTTTGGATTTTGAACTCCTGGATTGGGACTAGATGCTGCTACAAGAGATCAGCCCTGAAATATAAGCACAAAAAGACTGGAAATTAAAGAATGAAAAAAAAATTACATAAACATTAGCTATATTAATATTATAGCAAATAACTTTAAGGCAAGGATCTTTGGTAGAGATAACAAGGAATGTTCTATGTTCAGAAAGTTAATCCACATGAAGACAGATATAACAATTCTTAAATTCACTTTTTTTTTCCTTATATATTTTGAAGTTAGGTTACTAACAGACAAAAATGAGAGACAAATCTACAATCATGAGACTTGGGAGATATGAAAAACATGATTAATGAATTTGATCTAATCAATCTAACGTAGACCCAATATGACACAATACATATTCTTTCCATATAGATATGGAACATTTCTCAAAACTGATATATACTGGATCAAAATTAATGTCTCAATTTCAAATGCCTGAAAACAATATTAATATGTTCAGTGACCAAGTAGCATCATGCTAGTCATTAGTGTAATTAGAAAGCCTTTAAATGTATGGAAATTAAACATACATCCCAGTAATTCAGAAAATCAGAATGGAAACTAGAAAATGTTTTAAAATTAATAAATAAATACAGTATACAGCCTAAAATACAGATAGTAGAAAATGGGACTAGAAAACCAACAACCTTGGGCTGGGGATGTGGCTCAAGTGGTAGTGCGCTTGCCTGGCATGCGTGCGGCCCGGGTTAGATCCTCAGCACCACATACAAAGATGTTGTGCCCGCCAAAAACTAAAAAATAAATATTAAAACTCTCTCTTTAAAAAAAAAAAAAAAGAAAAAAGAAAACCAACAACCTAAGCAATCATCTCAGGAAGTTAAAAAATGCACAGCCAACAAAATCCAAACAGGTAAGTATACTACACGTAGGAGCAGAATGAATGAAATATAATTGAGCCTGCATCTAACTTTTCAAATGTATGCAAGTTTTTTTAAAAAAATATTTATTTTTTAGTTGTAGTTGGACACAATATTTCTATTTATTTTTTTGTGGTGCTGAAGATCAAACCCAGGGCCTCTCACATGCTAGGTGAGTGCTCTACTGCTGACCCACAACTCCAGCCCCTGAAAAGAGTCTTTGATGGTTTTAATAATACCAACTTTTCCAAGAATACACCTGCCATGTAATCTAAGCAAAAGTGTGCTGTTTTTCTCAGGCCTCTACTATCTGCCAAGGGATGTTTAAGAGGTTCATGGTATGCCTCCATTTGATTACTGCCTTGTGATCAATCGATCCATCTATCTTTCTATCTGAAAACATCTGACCTCCTTCATTGTTTTTATAATGTAGTTGTGCCTGAATGTTTGTTTGCATATTGAAATGTTACAAACTCTTTTCCTTTTGTAGTAAGGGAATCGATCTATATCACAAAGTATGTTGAATATATCCAAATTTAGATGTGGATACATTAACTATGATTCATGATAGAGAATTTCAGAATCTTTTTAGAATAGGATTGTTGGGTCTGAGAGAGTTGAGACTCTGAATTCTATGAGTTTTGAGGTCCTTCTCAGCCTTAACATTCTGAGAATTTCTGTGATCATTATTTCTATGAATAGCTCTAATCTGTTTTGCAACTAGTGTGTGGCAAACACTATATTTGGAACGGTGTTCCATTTAAATCTAATAAGTCCCCTTAAATGGGGTAGGAATATTGTCACTGTTTATGAGAGAACAAAAGCAGTGAGATGTAAATTAGACAAACTGTTTAAGAAGAATTGAGTCAAATAACTCCAGAATTCATGTTCTTTTCAAAGTTCTTTAAGAAAAGTTAAATATGTATATGGAAGTGAGGTTAAGCTAATTTAAGTATTTATAAGGGATCTCTGCCAGCCACAGCAATATAGAGATGGAATGTATAAACGTAGTAGGTAATTTTTTTAAAAAATTAGGGCTAATGAGTTATATAAATGGTAACATTTAAAAACAGAAACCATGCAAAGTTCACCAAAACAATTTTTATTTCCAGTGTTTAATTGGGTATGCACACAGGCATGACACAGGTTTGGATCATTAGGTCCTCATGCAGAATTATATTCTTCTCAATAAAGAAGCCAGTTCCATCCAGGATCCACTATCTACACACCTATGTTACAACATTTATATCAAATCTGGTATCTGAAGAAAAGATACACATATAATATGTTCATTTAAGTTACGTATTTTACAGAAAGATTAAAAATTCAAGTCACACAAAACTCAAAAACTGTATTAAAAGTTTGAATATAAAACTCAGATCCACCTGGAATGACTAAAGAATGGAAGTTCTGTATCCACCTGTGTTAAAACTGGTAAATGTAATGAAATTTATTACCAATAAAATGCATTCATTTATTTAATGTAAGTTATCTAATTTTAACAATATGGCACCCTAAAAATCAAATGGATTTTATGATGAGGCACTTTTGTTAGTGATGAAACCAAAAGAACAAATTTGCTGCATACTAATGTCAGCGATTTTCTCAGTAATTCGGGGTATATACTATGTAGTGAGTTGCAACAAATACCTTGCTCATTTGTATACAACTATCCAATATATTTTTAAATATATATGTGTTCTTCTGGCTGTAGTAATGCACTGTAAAGTTATTTCACAGTGCAAAATGATGAAACCAGCCCAAATGAAGGCTGCATAATAACAATTCTGGTACAAGAAAATATTTACAGAGTTACTGAAATGTGTAACAGTAGCTTTTTATTTGCTAGAGTGGACATACCCCCAGTTTAAAGACAGGGATGAAACTGTGCTTTACTCCCTGGGGTTTCAGACAGTTTATGAGGATGGGCATTAGTTGCAGAACTAGCATTTTGGCTCATGTTCTGGAAGTTTTCTCCATTTATTTGGTCAGGTAACTGTGGTGGTATGGAAAGATGGGGCCTAGTTGTTGAAGCCAAAGTACTGGAAGAACTGCCAGTGTCAGATTGCAAAGACCAAGTTGTCTCGGTCCTGGGTGTTTCTGATGTGCCAGGGTTCTCCAGCTGGGGGTCTCCAATTTCTCCTCTGCTAAGGTCAGATGTGCTCGTACGTAGGCGCTCCCTGGCAAGCCAGTCTGAGATTGAGAGGTCCTGGGCTGAGCATTTTGGTTTTAATCGATTCACAGCTGAAAGTTCAGATTCTCTCTCCCCACTCTGCTCATGTGCTTTCCAGAAATTCAAAACGCTGATTTCAGTAGCATCTCTGTGTCCTCCTAGTGTGTGTCTGCGCTTGATGTTTTTCCTTTTAGCAGTTTCGGCATTTGTTTTTTGATTCCCTACTCCAAACATATCATCTGCAGGTGCTCTGGGTCTCAGCTTTAGTCGATCTGCTATTTTCGTTTTCCAAGTGGGTTCTGGCTTTTCTGATTCACTTCTGGTTGGTGTTAGTAGACTCCCAGTTGATTTTCCTTTTTTCATGACATCAAACACTTTGGTTATTGAAGGTGTTTCTTTCTCGCTCTTGGTATCTCCCAGACTTCCACTGTCTGACTTGAATCTTGCAGACTTTTTTCTGGATAGTGTATCACATTCAATAAGTTTATGTGAACTAAAGAGTTGTCTCCGGCTTTCTAAACTTGGTGTTAAACTTCCCTCAGTACAACTTACTTCACTTCCTTCTGAGTTTCTACGGCTTGTCTTAGTAACTTCTTGCAGTTTTCCTCGGAAAACCCTCTCGGAAGTCAAAGCTGTGGGGAAGACAGGAAACTCACTCTCACTGTCTGTCTCCACAGGCCGCCCCTCACTTATCAGTTCGCTTCGCTCATCATCAGCCTCATCTCCCTTACTTTCTGCCACAGACTGTACTTCAGGGCTCAGTCGACTGGAGTCGAGGCTAGTCAAGTACATAGTTGATGATGTAGTAGAATAATCTGAGGTGATGGTGCCAACATTGGCCAAAAACTCACAATGTTTAGGTTCTGGACTGGTGGATTTCTTGGTAGAAAACCTTGCCAGAGAAGCCTGGGAAGATGTGCTAAGCAAAGTGCCAGAGTCAGACCCTGTCTCTTCAAAATGGGAGGACTTTTGTGTGAGAAGTGATTTAGAGCTCTCTTTCAGGATAGTAAAACGACTGCTAAGAGTTGGCGATCTGTTATGTTTGGAATTGTGTGGTGGAGAGGGTTCTTCAGATGGCGTGCTCTCTTTTCGTAGAGATGTCTTCTCATCTTTTGTTGTGCTGTCTGTCTTAGAACTATTTTCTTTGGCAATGATGAGCCTTTGTTTTCTGCTTAATGTCTCACTTTCCTTTTTTGACTCTTCTTTAATGTCATTGTGACACTGTTCCATATTTTCCTTCTTAAAAAATACATTGTCCAATTCATCTTCTGAGCTACTAGGTTGTGCTTTTTCTTTTGGCTTTTTCCTCTTGCGACTAGCGGCTGCAAAGATGGAGGACACAAGCAGTTCTCTGCTATACTGATCCTTTCCAGATCCCCAAGAACCCTGGGAAGCAAGCAGAGAAATAAGATTGTGAACAAAAGAACCATGCTGGTTGTAATTTGTTTTTTATACCCCCTTTTAAACTTATGCCAAAGACAAATTTTTATTTAACCACCAATCCCATCTCTTGCCTGGTTGTATTTATTTGCCAAGTCATAACTCAATTACATCTGTCTTTCAGGGAACACTTTTGTGTTGAGAGGCAAATAGCTCTCCTGATTCTTAATTTTCCTGTACTTGACTTTCCCTGCTTCTTTCACCTGGAACATAGGTTTAATAATTAAATAATGTTCTAATAAAATTGAATATAATATACTGAAATAGGCCATTAACATTTTATGGTGAATTCAATTTTCTAACTACAAAATACATATRACAGATACTTGACAGTATCGTATAAGCAAACTAGATTTCCATTGGTTCAGCCAGATTGAATCTTCAGGTATTTGCTTTAGTATACCAGGTTAGAAATGCCTTCATTTATCTAATGGTAACAACACAATTGAAAAATCTCAAATAACATAAGGTCAAAGGATCTTTGATCTTTATCATGGAATCATTTAAATGTACCATTATTGGTAAAGTCATCTTTTATGTATAATAGGTCCTTTCTACAACTATTTAGTTTGTTTATAATGTCTGTATGCTAAGGGAATGGCTGGGGACAAGGGTCAATAAATTCTTGTTTTAGCACACAACAAGATAGGGAGGCAGGAAGTATGCTGAGTAATGGATCAGAAATTATATTTCTCTTTCAATAAAAATTTTAGACAAGTGAAACTGAGAAAATGAGGTCTTTTAAAAAGGCTTCTACATTAAAAAGGATCAAATCACAGATTAATAGGATTTTGTTTTCCTGTTATAAAGGATTTCCTAAATATCCATTACATTTTAAATGGTTACTCACATTTTCTCACACTCTGATGAAGACCAGAGGGGATAATGGTTGTGATTGGGCTCTGAATTAGGAGACCTGATGTTCCATTATCTAGCTTGTTGTATAGGACATAGGAGACCTGATGTTCCATTATCTAGCTTGTTGTATAGGACACTGGACAAGGGACTAGACTTCTTTTTTTAACAATTGAGAAAGTGGTAGAAGTAGTTATAGCATTTGGACACCCACTACATTGAGGGTATGGTAGACCACCACTTAGATGAAGAAACATGTTAAAGGCAGAGATTTCAAAAAAATCCTTTCTTCTGGCAAAAACTTTTGGAAACTGTCATGTCCCTTTAGACTTTTATTAATCTAGAACAATGAAATATAAGGAATAAAACCTGACTGCATCTAGATAGGGAAATGGAAGAAAATCCTTTGTGTAGAAAATGTACATTAGATAATAATGTATTCTAATGTTGGTATCCTGAGTATAATTATAGTGTCATTATATAGAAGAATGTCCTTGTACAAGCAAGTCTCAAATGACTCTGGGAAAAAAGTGTGTTTATGTATAATAGAATCAAGAGATTAATTTAGGTAAAAGGGTTGGGTGTTATTCTAACTTCTCTGTAGGTTTCAGGTTTTTAAAAATAAACACTAGGAGCACAAAGATGGTGAAAGTTCTAAGTGATACTGGTGATAAAAACAGACTTCTGTTAGAATTATAATTTAATCATACAATTCTAGTTTGCTATTGTCTCACCAGTCTACACAGTGATTCAAAAAACATTTATTTTTAGTTGCACACAATACCTTTATTCCATTTGTTTATTTTTATGTGGTGCTGAGGATTGAACCCAACCAAGGCCTCACACGTGCTAGGAGAGMACCTTACCATGGAGGCCACACCCCAAAACACTTTGTAAGAATGCTACATAAGAATTTCCTATAAACTGCTCAAAAAAAAAATTGTAATCTGGTGTTACTATCAATAGAATAAAAATTATGTAAAAATACTAACAATAAAGCCAAATAGGCAAGAATATATGCATTTTCTATAACAATGTATAGTAATAACAGAAGTTCATAATGCTAATAAAGTTATTTACAGATAAAATGATATCATGTTAGCACAGAAGCAGCAGGACTGGTAATTGTTGACGATGGATAAGGAGTACCTCATATCATTCTCTCCAATTCTGTATGTGTTGGAATAACTCTGGAAAGTTTTCTAACTCACAACTCAGTACTAGTTTAAGACTAATTTTTCTATTTATTGGAATTTGTTGTTCTGGCTCATAACATCAGCCAGAAAGCAATCCCCTCCTCCACCCCCCAAATATTTCTAAACTGTATAAAACAAAAAGATAATTTACCTTAGATTTTGTTGAGTCACTAGTGGCTGAATCTGAGAAGTTAAATAAAACATGGTCAGTATTAGCCAATCTTTCCTGCTTTCAACAAACAATGCAAAACTTATGGAAAAGACAGGCACAGAACAAATGTGAAAGCAAAACTCAAAACAACAGAACACAGTGGATAGTCAGAGCTCACAAAGATGCAAGCTGCACCACAGAAAGCCACCGCCATGAAAGGATGCTGTGAATTGTAGGCAGAACCAGCTCAATGATAGGAATGGCAAAGGAGCCCTGTACTAAACAAAAACAGAAACACTAATGTTTATTTTCTAAATATTAAATCTAGCAATAAAGAAGCTTGAAGACCTTTTAAGAATTATATCATGTACCACATCCTGTATCTGAAACTGATACACAATGTAGAACTTTTAAGATTGTTGACTATCCTAGCTACAAATTGAAACACTCATATTGGTGTATTTGTTTATTTTTGTCAGACTTAAATATTATAAACATATACTGTATGCATATGGATACAAAAAGAGGCATTAGGATAATCCTGCTACCAGGTCACTTTGGTTTTTATTAGATAATGTTGATTTTTGTGCTTCAGACCCCATTTTCACGTCAGGGATCTTTTTGACTAGTTTGGTTAAATTGCTACCAGTTTTATAATTATCTATTAACAGACGCTATTATGGAAATGGAAAAATGGAGACCATAATTTTACTGTCTGGCAAAAACTCAGATTATACAATTATAAAGAGGGTAGAACGGGGCTAGCACTATTTAGAATAATACGAATTTTGAAATTTTATCTTTCAACTTCTGGGAAATTGTTTTTCAAAATTAATGAGCTGAGCCCCATGCCACACCCCTTTTAACACATGGCTAAATGCTTTATGACTTTAAGAACTGGTAGACCATACCATGCTATTTCTCCTCAGGGTCTGCTTCAGAAATAACAAGAAACAGCAAAAAACTTTTAAGAAAGTAGTATTGATCTGTTTACAATATTCTTAAGAGAAACTTTACACCACAGATCAACTGTGTTTGCATTTACAAGAATCGGGGGTTTCTGCAGACAAGGCAGCTACAGTGTGGACAACAATCCTCCTTCTTTCTACAGTTCCAGCTGTCCATCAGGGACATCACAGAATCCACTAGTGACATTACCGTGTGATAGACTCCTCCCACTTCGCCTGTTCAACATCAGTATAGATTTGCCTGTGTCAGTAAGTGCTGAAAAAACCCTTTAGGACTAAAACAAGAACTAGAGACAAAGGGAGAACATTGTGTGAAACAACATGCTAGATTAGTGCAACAGTCTGGCAGGAGAAACTTTTCATCAAAAGAGCCTATAAAAACTAATACTTAACCAAGCATTAGGGTGGCAATAGGAAACAGAAGAAAATAAAGGTCAAAGAGATTGACTTTTACTGTGATATCTATAGTGACAGATAATACACTGTATTTGAGAATGGTGTCCATTAGCAGTTTGACACATGTAACTTGTTGCTCTTAAACAGAACTTCTAGGTCAGGAATAAGAACTACATATACAGTCTAGATCATACTTTCTGCCATCACAGCAACCACATATTCAGTAGCATATATCTGTTTTACCTTGTGATGACTATTACATGGAAACTGTGAATTAAAAAAAAAAAGAACAAAACAGTGGTTTGCATGCTCATTTCCCTCATATTTTCATTCTGACAAACATTACAACTCCATGCATTGTCAATGGCATTATAGGCACTGGAAGATAATTAAGATCAATCAGAAAAGGAAGATTATTTATTAGTAGAAAGGAAAAAAAAGAAAAAGAATAAAATCATAGTGAATTATTACTCATGACTGATTTGTTCTTTCATGTTACAAGAATGTAGCTTTTAACCTAGAGCAAAATACTGCCCAGGCAAGAGTTACCTGATACATCTCCAGGGGAGACTCCTGTCCTTCCAATGTTGGTGAGTAAATGATCTATGTTTGGCACTGGCTGGGAGTCTACTGTGTTTTCCTCCTGCACTGAGGTCTATGGTTAACAAACAAAGATCTCTTCATCATCTCTTCAAAGATATTTTAAAATTCAAACAACATTTTTTTAGTAAAAGATACATTACTGAATGGAGTGCTTGTGCTTAACATTTTTATATTGGTTATAYATCATTAACTGCAAAAAAAGCTTTATATGATCAGAGACTAAGGAGCTAGAGACCTGCTTCCARGATGCAAAGCGGGCAATAGCATACAAAGCGGGAGGTTGACATTGTTGTAGCATCAGGATCTTGAGTCCCAAATGAAAATAACTGAGTGCAAATGCTGCTGCACAATACTTACAAGAGGCTCTTCAGCACCCTCTTCCGTGAAAAACCAGTCATGCTAAAATTTAAAATAAAAGAGGTGAAAAGAAAAATTAAATAACCCCCTAAATATACTTTATATCTTGAAGGATAGTTTTTTTAGACAAAAAAAAAAAAAAAAGACCAAATTCTATCCTACCAAGTATCAGCTGCTCATGAAAATGAATGGTCTCGGAGATGAAGAACGAACTTACATGCTGGATGAGTGTCTCTACAATCTTATACTGGTCGGGCATGTGTGTGACCATGTGGGTCATGTTGTCTTCTGATGTTCGCACTAGAGTTGGACCAAAAACAATTGCTAGGTTTCTTGGTTCCATCTGAAAGAATAAATGATGGTGGAAAATTAAAAAAAAATTGAGAGAATTTTTTAATATTTATTTTTCAGCGGACACAACATCTTTATTTTTATTTTATGTGGTGCTGAGGATCGAACCCAGCACCCCGAGCATGCCAGGTGAGTGCGTTACCGCTTGAGCCACATCCCCTGCCCCCCAAAAATTTTAATATAAGAATTCCCTTTGTAGGTCTGGCATTTTAGATCTAAAAAGTTATTTCTGACAGAGGAAAAAAATACAAAGCAATTTTTTTAACCCTTTGTAGTCCTATCACAATTTAGGACATTGCCTGACACTGCTGTTATCTTCTGGATCTGCAAGCAATAGGGGTTGATACTGCTCATTTCATAATTCAACCTTATTATAATTGAGCGCTACTTCCAGATCATGCATGGCCACTGAACTGACCTGAACATATACATTATTCTCTATCTTAAACTGAAAGCACTCTGAAGAAAGGGAGTGATAGTGGTATTCCTAGCTTCTGGTGTTCTCTTATTTTCTTCTCGGTCTTGTTGGTTTCTGGAGAACTTTAAGGGAGTAATGTCACAAAATGAGAAAATCATCATTTTGCTAACACTGTAATGATTATCACTGAGGAAAAGGATGAATAATTATGTCACCAAATACAATGTGTGAATTTTGTCTAGATATTTAAACAAATAAGAGACATTTTAAAAATGAGTCAAACAGAACATGAATATTAATATTCTAGTAAATTTAGTTGTTTAATAATGTGGTGGTGTTAAAAGGGGGAGAAAAACCTGTTTAAAACAAAATATTATTTTTCACTGTATACCGTGTATATACATTACCTGCTCAAAAAGGTGATATGCAGCTGAAAAAGTGTAATGTTTCTTTTTCATGCTGGATAAATATAACATGAATAACCTTCTTTAAAATAGTGACAACTGGCTGGGCGCGATGGTGCATGCCGGTAAGGCCAGCAGCTAGGGAGGCTGAGGCTGGAGGATCACGAGTTCAAAGCCAGCCTCCACAAAAGTGAGGTGCTAAGCAACTCAGTGAGACCCTGTCTCTAAATAAAATGCAAAATAGGGATAGGAATGTGGCTTGGTGGGTGAGTGCCTCTGAGTTCAATCACCAGCACCCCACTCCCCCAAAATAGTGACAACTGGTATTTGTAGATATTTTGCTTTTAAGAGTACTCTTCAACCTTAGAAAAGAAAAGGGAAGATAAGATCTCCCATGTTCTTGAATAGGCAGAATTAATACTGTCAAAATGGTCATACTACCAAAAATGCTACCAAGATTTAATGCGATTCCTATTAAGGTTCTGATGATGTTCTTTATAGAAACAGAAAAAGCCGTCATGAAATTCATTTGGAAAAAGAGGAGGCCCAGAATAACCAAACCAATCCTCAAGGGAAAAAGTGAAGCAGGAGGCATCCCTATACCTGACCTTAAATTATACTACAGAGCTACAGTAACAAAACTGGCATGGTATTAGCACAAAAACAGACACAAAGACCCATGGTATAGAATAGAAGACTCAGAGACAAACCCATATAAATAGTTATCTCATACAGACAAAGACACCATAAACATACATTGGAGAAAAGACAGCCTCTTCAAAAAATGGTGCTGGAGAAACTGGAAATACATATGTAGCAGAATGAAATTGAAACCCTGTCTCTCACCCTGCACAACACTCAAGTCAAAGTGGATAAGGAAAGTATGCATTAGACCACAGATCCTGTGCTTACAAGAAGAAAAAGTAGGCCCAAATTCCATCATGTTGGCTTAGGAATGGAATTCCTCAACAAGAGCACAAGAAATAACATCAAAAATCAATAAATGGGATGACATCAAACTACAAAGCTGCTTCACAGCAAAGGAAACAAGTCCATGAAGAGAGAGCCTACAGAATGGGAGAAAATCTTTGCCACCTGCACCTCAGAGCATTAATCTGCAGAATATAGAAAAAACTCAAAAAACTTAACAAAAAAAAGCAAATAACCCAATCAATAAAAGGGCAAAGGAACTAAACAGGCACTTCACAGAAGAAATACAAAAGGTCAAATATATGAAAAAAATGCTCAACATCTCTAGCAATTAGAGAAATGCAAACTAAAAACTACATTGAGATTCCATCTCACTCTAGTCAGAATGGCAATTTATCAAGAATACAATTATAACATTAAGTGTTGGCGAGAATGGGGGGGAAAAGGTACGCTCATACATTGCTGGTGGGACTGCAAATTGATGCAACCATATGGAAAGCAGTATGAAGATTCCTCAGAAAAGCTGGAATGGAACCACTGTTTGACTCCTCCATATATATGCAAAGGACTTTAAATTGGCATACTATAGTGACACAACCACAGCAATGTTTATAGCAGCTTAATTCACAGTAGCTAAACTATGGAAACAACCTAGGTGCCCATCAACAGACAAATGGATAAAGAAAATGTGCTGCATACTACACAATGGAATACTACTTAGCCATAAAGAAAAATGAAATTATGGCATTTGCCAGTAATTGGATGGAATTAGAGACTATCATGCTAAGTGAAATAAACCAATCCTAAAGAACCAAAGGCTGAATATTCTCTCTGATATATGGATGCCAACACACAATGAGGAGGTAAGTGGGGAGGGGAATATAAAAGAGTAGAATAAACTTGACATAATTTTCCTTTGTTCATATATAAATACATAACCAGGGTAACTCTACATTATGTACAACCACAGAACAAGAAGTTATACTCCATCTATCTATAATATACCAAAGTACATTATAYTGTCACATATAAATAAAAAGAACAAATAAAAAATTAAGGAGTGCTCTTCAGCCAGTTTGATGTATTTTTGGAGTTTTTTTGTTGAATTCTAAACCTATTTTTGACAATTGGGCATGAAGCAATGAAGGATATCTTTTAAACTAAAGCCACTAAAATTATATTTCTTAAACATGCACTTCACATACCTTATTTTTTTCCGAATTTTCTGCTACTGTCTTCAGATGAGCCGAAAGAAACTTAAGGGTTTCATAATGATGTTCAGGCAAATCGTGGATCTAAAACATATTATTTTATGATGGATTCAAATGTTGAATTTTAGTTGTGCCTCCCAAACTAAAAAAATAATACCTACTAGTCTTTTCAATGTTTTCAGCCGATCTAGAGGATCTTCTTTACGATTGGCTTCAATAAAATCAGCATATTTATCTGACAACAATAAGAATAAAACAATTTATCTTTAGGTAACCCTGTAAAGGTTTAAACACAATGAAAAGTAGAAGATTCCCAAATAACTTGGCCTTYGAAATGTAAATGTCTACAAATTACATTTTAGATAAAGTTTGAAGTTYAAAAACCATATAATAAATAGAAGAAGATTCAGTGAAATTTTCTGTTCACACAGCCTGTCCAGTTTTCCCCCCAACCACTACAGTGGCCCATGTAGCATTCAAATTTCTGTAAGTTTTCCTATTAATGGTATCTTATTATGTGTGAAAACTTTTGACTAAAACAATAATGAACAGGAAAATATATTTTTTCCCTGAATGGAAATATTTTTAGAAATTCTGTTTTTCACTATATAACTAAACACAACCTTCTGTTTCCTTCAACAAAATATATAYATATTTTTGGTTCCATCAGTCTATGGTTTTCTAACAGTTGTAATGTGGACTGTTTCTCTGGCAGCTTTCATGGGAGTTAACTTACCATTTGTGAAGAGAGGTTCAGGGAGTTTTCTGAAGAAGGATTTTAGTAAACTGCTTATCACATTCAAATCTCGCCATTTCTAGGTAAGCAAAACAGAAATACAGTATTTTTTGGCCAATATTAGCAAAAGGAGGAAAACAGATCAGTTATTCAAATAGAAATAAACAAACTTACATCATCTTGTATATCAATATCAGCCATTCCCTTGTTGAGTTCTTCTTGCATACTTGAAATGGCTGCATTATTTCCAGGAACTCTGTAAATACCTGTATATTCGAGACCTCTTTCTTCAACTAATTTGCAACATATATCAACTATTAATGGAATATACTGCAAAACAAGAAATAAACATTTTTATTTAACACAAAAATTTATGTTCAGATAGTAGTTCTATATCACAGCTACAAGTACCCTTTCATCCAAAAGGAAATATGTAAATTGCCATTATGAAAAACTAAAATAGAAAATATAGACATTCAGAAATTGGGAATAAATCGAACCAACATGACATTTTTTGAGAGAGTGGGAAGAGAATGAACAGGTCAACACAGAACATAAAAAGCCCTCAGGGAGATGATCTAGAAAGGAAAGGAATAATTAAGAAGGATGTGGAAACAGTTTAGGAGAATAAACAGGAATAAGGTCAAGAGAAGACATGGGATACAGTAGCAATCAACTCACAATATGCATCTTAGCATGGAGTTGTAAACCAATATACGTGTACTTAATAAGGYTGTTATCATACTTGTAAGATGCAAAAGACAGAAAATAAATTCATATTGACACTTTTTTTTKGGGGGGGTGCGGTATGCTGGGGATTGAACACGAGGCCTTGAGCTTGCAAGGCTACCAACTGGGCTATACTCCCAGCCCTCAGACACATTCTTAATGACTAAATAATTCTATTTTAGAGTTAATACATTGGAAAAAAGTATTATATATAAAATTACTTATACAGGTCAGAGTAACTCGTGGAAACTAAGATCTGGATGAAGAGGAAAATGCTCAACAGAGGAAGCAGTCCCTATTATCTGAAAGGCTGTACACTCAGATCCTATAATTACAAATGAATGAATGAATTCAGGAAACCCGGCTGGTTGGTGTCTCCTACCCGATTAGTATGAGCTGGCGGACAATCATCCAGTCGGACGCCAAATGTTCCTGTAGCAGTAGGCTTTTTCTCAAATGTCTTTCTCATAATGCTCGGAATGCCTTTTCTCCATGTGCCTTTGTCTTTTGGGGGACTGGTATCATCTTTTGATTGTTATTGAAAATAAAATCACATAAGAAAACGGAAATAAGAGTATTTAAATCATGACTAACAATCCTTTATATTAATTGGAATCCTCTTATGTAAAACACCCTACATTTATCTAAAATATTTAAATCTCTTCCTAAATGGCCACTCCCTTTAACCTTCCATATAATGTAACAGATAATAATACTTCTTCACCCTTTTACAGTCCATATCATGATTTTCTTTAAAACAGCAAGGAAGTACAATCAACAAAACTACTGGTTCCATTTCACAATGGTAGCATCTGCATTCGGAGTCACTCAAATCTGCCATGTCTCTTTTGTGTTACATTCTCCTTTACCTTGTTTTGATTACAGAATCTGGTGTCTTGGGCCTCACTTTAAAGGAAAAGGTCCCATTAGCCTACACTAGGTCTCTAGTGATCTTTAAGATAGCTGACCCTGGGTCTGAGTCAGTAGAAATGGTACAGAAAAACATGAAAATACCTTTAAGATCCCAATTTTAAACACTTTATTTGTYAAATTTACCCAGAAAGCTAACATCAGTACCTTTGCTGAGAAGTTTCCTTTCAGATTCTTCCTTTGGAGAATGTGGGCTTTGAGTCTTTGGCTCTGATTTAGCACCAAGTAAAGTTTGCCTGATGCTGAGACTCTGGCGAGGTGTTTTTGGCAACTGTTCTGCTTTGCTGCTAAGAGAAATAAACATTTCTTAATGGTTTCCTATTTCACATCCAAATTAACTGTAGGCACGAAGGGATTCTCACCTCATCAGATTGTTATATTCTTTTATTCTCCGACTAATTAAATCCCTGTTAGTAACTCCAGTGTCCTACAGAATAAACAGAAGGTAATATTAAAAAGTCAATTCCAAACATAAATAGGAGATTCTTATGAGTGGGGCCATTTTAAAGCCTCTATTCAACATCACTATGTGAAAAATGTTCCAGTTACCTCCTGACATTGCCAAAGTTTTATTTTCTGTATTCACGCAATAATTAGAATATTTCCAGCAAGTAAGAAGTTGTTCAATACTTATTGATCTGTCATTCTAAATAAATGACAGGGCAGCAGAGTTTAATACTTAAAGGATCAGCACTTAATACTCTTGGATAAAAGATGGAAAAATACTGCCAGAATTTAGTAATTAATAATTTGTAGTTATTAATAATTTGTAGTAACAGTGAGATTGAGGGTCAGTTAGTATTAGAAGGGGCAGATTATCAAGAACTTGTTTTTTTAACCTCAGCGGGTTAGTGTTTATAAAATGATAAATCCAAAGCTGAACATAATTTTTTCCTAGTGATTCCAATTATACATTGATGTGTGTCCTCAATTTTTTTTAGTTTATTTTGCTTATAATGAAAGACAATTTACAAAAAATTTTGTTTCATTCCAAAGTTTTCAATGGACTTTTCCAATGAATCAGATGAGTAAGATCTAGAATAAGATTGCCTTAATTTAAATCCTAACTCTTACATTAAATTTGTAATCCTGGGGAAATTATTTAATCTCTGTTTGACACAGTTTTCTTATTTATAAAATTATTATGATATTAATAGGACACATTTTATATGATTGCTAAGATTAATTCACGTAAAATGTTTATAAATAGTGTCTGCCAGGGCTGGGATTGTGGCTCAGTGGTAGAGCACTTGCCTCGCTGCCTTKCATGTATGGGGCACTGGGTTCGATCCTCAACACCACATAAATAAATAAAAGTATTGTGTCCAGCTACAACTATAAAACTTTTTTAAAAAACAGTGTCTGCCATATGGCTTATGCTCAGTGAATCATTTTTTTAATGCTCAAAACTAGGGGAAATATCCCTGTTTTAAGATTAGATGACAATGATGATTGACACTGAGTCAATGTTTATTAACTGCCAGGCAATATGTTACATTCTTCACGAGCAGTATCTCCATCAAACCTCAAAACGGTTGTTTCAGATGAAATCATCTGAGGAATTTTAATGATACTATGCCTAATACACAAATAACACACAGCTGGTATTTATTAAATGGGAACTCCTTTAAACCATTACTTAAAGCTGAATCTACATCTGTGAATTATTCTCCCTGTTTCTTTCACAGAATTTAGGTCTGATGCTGTCTACAGTAAGCGGTGGCAAAACAAAGGTTGTGTTGATAAAGATCTGGTGTTAAAAATTAACTATCATCAAGGCAGGGGGAAAACTACCAAAGGAAGAAGCAACAGGCACTTTTCCTCATGGTATTAAGTTTTCATAATTTGAATTATATTACAATGAAAATGATTAAATTGGAGAACATAATTTGTATGGCTTTACAAGGAACATTCTGAATAATGAGAGCAAAAGAAAAGAATCTGGTGTGCTTTTGGGGGTCATCACATGAAGTCAGAATAATGTGGGAGGAAAACTTAGTTAATAATATGAAGGRAAAAAAAAGTAGTACTCTTGAGCAAAAGTTTGATTTCATCATTGCTGTTTTTTTTTTCCCCCACAGAGTTTATAGCTATATACCTTTAAAACTATCTTTATTACTGAACCCTGCTATAAACTCTCAGAAACTTTATTCCCTATTAAAAATAAAAGCTGGCTTATAATTTTAGATAATGTACATTTTCTTAGAAACCAACTACTATACTACCCCCTAGGCTATATTTTTGCCTATACAATTCAATTAACAAAAATCATGCCAGTATCTCTGCCTTTACATAGTAATTTTTTTCCCCACAGTATTGGGGATTGAAAACGGGACACTCCAACAGTGAACTATATATCCTCAGCCCTTTTTAAAATAGGGTCTTGCTAAGTTGCTGAGGCTGGCCTTGAATTTGTGATCCTCCTGAGTCACTGTGATTGCAGGTGTGTATATTTTCACTGTAACCTAAGCCTACAATAATCCTGCTTTTGAAAGCAGGGCAAAGACACAGAAGAATTTGGACATAAAGGTTCAATTGACCCTCTCTATTCACAAGTCCCTCATCTGAAATAGACTTTTTGTCTTATTATTCCCTTAATGATACAGTGTAACAATGATTTTCTTAGCATTCACATGGTATTAGGTATTATAGGTACAGATTTAAAGTACACAGGAGCATGTTTGTAGGACATATGCAAATACTATACTATTTTATATAATAGACTTGAGCATCTGCAGATTATGGTAGCCAGGAAGGGTCCTAGAACCAATCCTCCACATTTAGCAAGGGATGACTAGAATGATCAGGACTAAGAACATGGGTCTCCTACCTGTGTTTTATTGCTTCTGAGAAGGTCCGCAAAATATGAATAGTCTATGTTTCTAGTTCAGGAATGGTAATTTTTTCAATAAGTGAAAATAATCTAATAAGTACACTTGAGCTTTCATTTTGATTGTCCATTTTTTAAGTAAAAATTGCACATTATAATGTTTTGTAAAAATGTATCAGATTCTTAACACCTACCTCTTCATTTAGGTTGCTACTTTCCTGGATAGTCTTGATCCATGCTAACATATCATCTCTGTCTTCTGCCTGAAATAGACATTCACAATCGGATGTGGTAAGTCGAAACACATTTTTCCTCTTGGTCTCACTGTAAGAGATGTCTATCAGGCAAGCATTAACACTGATGGGTTGCTCTTCCTCAGAAGGAGGCATCTGCTCTCTCTTATCTTTGTACAAGTACAGAGAATGGCCCCGAAGTACAACATACATCTGTTTCCAAGGACGAATACTTCCACCAACACGCTAGAAAACACAAATCATTCCATGAATATATAACATAAGGCTAAATCTTTGTGACAGGATAAGCATATTAAACAACACCTTTAACATGTGCATATAGACACAAACACACACCTAGTATAGAAGGTGTCTAATTTACCTTAATATATACTTTGTATATATAACCAAATTAGGCAATGTATTCATATCAAAATTGAGGATAGTGAAATGCTAACTTTAGTTGGAAAGATAAAATCAAAAAAGAAATTAAAGTTTTGCAAAATATATTTAAAATGCCAAGGAAATGGAAAATTTAAAAAATCAATCAGAAAAATCTCTAGATAAAAATGGGTCTTAAGTCTTAGCTTGAAAATGATAAAYACTGCAGAAGAAATTTCCAAAACGACATGTACAAATGATGAATTAAGTTACCAAAGCTGATCAACTTTATATGTATGGTAAAGCAAAAATATCCATATCCAAAGTAAGTCCTCTAAAAAATTTTAAATTCTTACAATATTAAAATGTTCTCATAAACAAGCTGACCAAATATTATAGGAAATTCTTTATTATATTTGGAGTCTACCTGATGAAGCATATATTGGTATTCATTTATATAATCTAATATTTGTAAAATAAAATAAGAAAATTATAAAGGCAACTTAAAACAAAAACAAAAATTATGAATAGGAGAAATGCCACTTCATAAAGGCCTACTCTGTCATTATCTATGGTTAGTAAACTAATAAGAGAGTTCTTCTTATTTTTACCTTAGCAGAATATAAGAGAATATATTCTACCTATTGTGAATACAAAGACTAAAATATTAAAAAAATCAAGATTAGAATCTTCTTAAATAATCTTTCCTTTATGCAGAAGGAGATATTTTCCCCTTTAATCTGGACATCTTTCCATTTTACACATAATGCAGTGTGTTGTGTTGGGGCCTGCATTTCTGACATTTACAGGAGCTGAGTGAACACACTACCTTGCCCTTATCGGTGACAAGTGGTCGGAAATGGAGCCACCCTTCTTTTGCAGCATCACTGAAAACCTCTGAAGAAGAATCTTTTCTGGATCCAGAGTCTTCTGATGACTTTTGACTATCTGTGATCTACAGAAAAGGCCAAGAAAACATAGTCAAATGTCAGTTTTTTCCTTTATAAATATTTATATGTTTGAAGTTGCTTTGCCAAAAGTCTTATGTTCCAAGTGAAGAGCTATTTTTGGAAGATCCTAACTTCCTAATTGCATAAGAAATATTTCTAGTCTTATTTAAAAAAATATTATTAAAGTCATCTGAAGGAATTTAAAAATATAAACTGATTTTTCCTGCTTTCATGAATCCATATTTTAGCAGAAAAAAATGATCAGTTTGAGATTTTGCCAACTGAAAAATGAAAATAGCAAGATGCAATAATCAAGGACTGAGTAGAAACTATAAGTTGGTGGTGCTGAGGCAAGGCCTCTCTGAAGAAGTAACATTTAGTTGACATCTGGAGGAAAAAAGGGCTTGCCATAAAAGGCTAGAGGGATAAAAATTTCAGGGAGAATGTATGTTCATCATTATTATTTTAAATATCCACTGTTCAATGTGAGTTACTAGATGTTTTGGTTTAGGGTCCTTAGGCTATGGTAGGATAAGTAAAGGGAAGCTGTTAAAAAGTGATGAAGCAGGAAGTAACATTATGTGTTCACATTTAGTTAAATTCAAAGATTTAACTGAATGYTACACAAGGATAGATTCTAAAAGGGCAAGATGAAAAGATGAATTACGCGAGTTACTGAAGGAATCCAAGAGACAGATGAGTGGCTTAGATAAGTGAAAAGAGGGAGGTATGCAAAGATTGAGGGTATGTTTTAGAGAATAAATAGGACTGATGTGGGGGGGGGAAGTGAACTAAAAGAAACAAGACTAATTCCTAGAATGTGGCTTGAGCAACGATGAACAGTAGTGAATTTATTCAGACAGGGAAAACTAAGTCTGAGGTAATCAAGATATATTGCGCATGTAAAGCTGAACTGTTCATTAAAAATCTCAATGAAAATGTCATATAGGCAGTAGCTTACATGAGCTGCAGTTTGGGGAGAAGATCAAAGCAACACAAATACTGGGATACCTCTGTGTAAGATCATCAAAAAAATCAGGGTAGATAAAGAATGGGTAAGAACAAGCTCGAAGCATTCCAACATTGTACATGCTAGGCATAAACAGAACCTGCCAGTGAAGTAGAGTTAGAGATAAAAGGAAAGCAGAAACAATGCTAAGATGGAATCCAGCACACGGAAGTATTCCAAGAAGGGAATGGAAAATTGTGTTGGATAATATTGAAAGGTCAAGTAAATTAAAAACCAAGTAATCAGGGGCTAGGGTTTTAGCTCAGTGGTAGAGCACTTGCGTAGCCTGGGTGAGGCACTGGGTTCAATCTTTAGCACATTAAAATAAATAAAGGATTGTGTCCATCTACAACTTAAAAAAAATTGAGAAAAAAAAAGTAATCATTAGTTTTGAACTTGAATTGTCTCTGGTGACCTCGGCGTGAACAGTGCACTTTAAAGTAGAGAACAGACAATCTTTTCAAGGAGATTAATATAAAAAGTAGAGGTGAAAGGAAGAGTGCTATCTAGAGGAGAGAGTAGTTTCCAGGAAGGTTTCCATTTAATGTAGGGAATAGTACAACATAACTATTATACAATGGTGAATGAGCCACTGGAAAGTGATTTTGCAGAGGAAAAGGAGGCATGAGTGAGTGATGACCCAATCCAAAGGCCGTKGGTACTGGTTTTCCACAGGATAATGTGTCAAGTAAAAAGATGTTTGAGATAAGGAAGGCACAAAGTGTGGGCATAAATGCAGGTGACAGATACTTTTGGAGATGGTAAGAAAGGAAATTCCTGTCTCATCATTTCTATTTTTCTTAAGGAAGCATGAGCGAAGGTTAGAGAACAACATACAGAGGTGGGCTGAAAGAAAAGGGTGGAGGGAAGTCACGAAATAATTCTAAGGAGAGAAAAATAAACACACAACAAAATACAGAAGGATTRCTGAGAAGTTAGATTTGGGGCCATAAATTGAAAAAATCAGCAGTGTGTGAATGTGTGTAGAAATTAGAAACATTAATATTTTCCAAAATGCAGTCAACAGTTACAGTATAAAAGTTATATGATATTTAAATATTAAATATCCAGTGGATAAAATATTTCTTTATGAAAAGTAAACTACTAAGGTAATATTTATTTGCTTGATGTTTTAAAAATACTGAATACTAACCTTGATGCCCTTCAGGCTAGATACATGCTTAAAGGATCTGTTGGAAAAGAAGTGTATTTGCAATTAGTACAAAAACACCTTAATGTTAAGAATTTGAAGACTGCAAATAACCTTTTAATTAAGGAGCTGATATTTTATCATTATCATGTTAAATGTTCACTATTCAATGTAAATGAAAAAAAAACATAATTTTATAAATAATTAAATTTTCAATGATAGAAACTTTCTTAGTTTATTTGGCAAATCAAAACTGTTTCTATGTAAAGTGTGGGATTTTCTCATCTAAGAAAAGGAAAAAACCACTCAGGATAAACACTTGTCTTTCTGTTATTAGTTAATCGTGGCTATGAAACTAGGGTAAGGATTTCCACATTACTAATTATGCTCTGTAAGTAGCTGATGTCAGCAGTCATCTAGAGAGCGTGGTGGGTATCCTGACCTGTAAATGCAGYACCCAGAGCACTGCCAGGTGGTTCCAGCCTAACACTACCCTCCAGCCACAATGTGAGTGCTTTCAAGAAGGTGAATGACAAATATTGTCTCCAGAAAGGGCTTAAGTCAACATGAAAGAATTCAAAATAACTTTTCAAAATTCATTTGCAGAACTCAGAATTTTAAGATATTACTAAAAATGTCACTATCTTCTCCTCATAGAAACCATAACAATCAACAAGGTAATTAGAAACAGACATACAATCTTGAATAGTGTGGGGGGCTACTACCTCTAAATTGAAGTGTACAAAGAAGGGTGGCTAAATGCAGTGAAGTACAAAATGGACACAGAGAGGATACCATTTGTTATATATCTCAAAACTGCAGTTTATTGTTTGAGAAATCAAAACCAACCTCCCCTTGTTTGGAACAAGGGCTAGAGTCAGTGACAGAAACTTCAAGATATGAGAAAAGAACGAGGAAACAAAATCCTGTCATCTCTGTAGGAAGCAGTGAACAGCTAGTGTAGGACAAAGGAGACTGAAATGTGGCAGTTACTGACATCTTTCAGTGAGGGGAAACTAAAGGCTAAAATAGCTCCCAAATCCAACCTGGGATCATCAGAAAAACTCCTGCTGGGCTAGAACACTGTGTTCTAGCCATACCTCACCACAGTGGCTGGCCCAACATTATAATGAAATAAAAATCTAATGAATACTTCAGAGTATGTTATACAAAGATAATTTAAAAAAAAAAAGACAGAAAGAAGATCCTATATTACAAAAGAGGTCAATATTAAATATCATGTTAATAAAATATCTAAGAACTAGAAAGGCTGATTTATAGCCAGCAGAATTTCAAAAAAGCACAAATAATGGGTAACACCTCTACCAAATAAGAGAAACATAAAACTACTGTAATTAATCGAATCTGGTATATATGACCAGATGGAAAAATTAATTGAACAGAGCCCCAAAATAAAAGAAAATACAAATAATTTAGTGTGTAATAAAGATGGTGTATCAGTGGGAAAAGGATGAGTCACAATAGATGCTTTGGGGACAACTGGAAAATCAAAGTTGTAAATATACAAAAAAGAAAAACATAAGTAAATATTGCAAAATTTCATAATTCTGGAGTTAGGATGGACATCTTCCGTATGATTCAAAACCCCCAAACCATAAACATATTCCCTAAATTTAACAACAGTAAACATTTTACATGTTTTTCATGGTTTAAAAATAAAAGCCAAATAAAAATTCTGAATTGGGAACAGACTTGTAATGCTTATTACTGGAAAAGTGATAGTTTTGTTTATATTAAAGGTTATGCAGAAATCAATAAGAAAAACCAGCAGAAAATGGGCAAATGATATGAAAAAGCAGTTCATAAAAAATGTTAAATACATGAAATGATGTTCAATTGATGGTTCAAATTAAAATATAATACCATAAGATTTATTTTTAAAATAAAAAATAATACACTGCATTGATGAATAATGGAGACTTCTGGTGGGAATGTGACTTGATATAATCTTTATGAACAGCAACTGACAATAGATATTAAAATAAAAATATACACATATCCCTTGATGTATAATCCTAGTAAGACTTATTACTCAAACATGCTAAATTGACTTTATGTAATATAGTCAATGAAGTATTGTTGAAGCATAAGATTTGAGCAATCTAAATTTCTACTAATAAGATCTAGATTATGGATTAAATATTTTCAGTGGAAATATAAGCAATTATGAAAAAGAAAGTGGCAAGAATACTGAACTACAGGATCTCTTGATCCATATGCACACCAACCCTCATTTATTTATCAAAATAATTAGAACACAAACACATGTAAGTGTATATAAGTGATTTTATACATGGAATAGCTCTAGAATTATACACAAGAAAATACTATCAGTTATGCCTGAGTGGTATTGAGAGGTTGCAGGTATGTGTATATATACATACCATGTTTGTGTATTACTGACTTAAAAATTATATTTAAAAATCCAATTGGATATATTACCAAGTAACAACTTGGATTTCATTTTTTGCCTTTCTAATGACAAGAAATTAGAAAAATCTAAGGCCTTAAATTCCATATCTATATGCCAAACTTATATTRAACACCCATCCATATACAAATATTTAAAATAGTACACCCAAGACTTACAATTTTGCATCTTCTCTATAATCATCCAGACCCTCATCATATGATTTTGATCTTTCTGTTTTTGAGTTGGGCTGGGCATCCAGGCTAGGTGGTCCAACAGATTCTGTAATTAGAACCCAATATTCATACATTTACAAGTGGTTTCCAGATTCTCTTAATGGTGAAAAGATCTGTTTGTCATATGATTTGTATAACCACTCTTTAAATGTACCTTGGTCATGGGACAGCTGACGTCGAATTAAAGGAGCAGAAGTTGTGAGACTGGGAGGAACAGTTGCTATTGAGGGGACTTGACAGGTAGAGGCAGAGATAACAGCAGAAGCAGGGATATGGGCAATATCATGATCAATGCTAGGGCTAGTTGGTTCATCTATAAGAAACGGGAAGATAAACATTAGAATATTAAAAACTCAAATGTATTAATAAAGATTTCTTTTTAATACTTTTTTAGTTGTTGATGGACCTTATTTTATTCATTTATTTATATGCAGAACTGAGAATGAAACCCAGAGCCTCACACATGTTGGGCAAGTGCTCTACCACTTAGTCACAACCCCAGCCCCCAGATAAAGATTTTAATACTCAACCAACAAACCACACACAAATTAAATATCTGATCTGCTAAAAATATTTACACAGCTTTTACTCTAGTAATTTCAAGTAATTCTCAGAAAACAGCATAACAAATATTTTAAATGAGTTGCTTTATCTACCAACCGATAACCAAGGTACCAAAATTTATAGGTATTCAGAATTTTAACTTACCAAAGTAGAGTAATAATCATACAGCACCCTAAAAAAAATTCTTTTCAAATTTTAAATGCATTACAATTATTAATTCAGAAAGCTAAGAAGGGTAATTTGGATAATATTTACCKTTCAGTGTTCAATTCCTTACTTCTTCCCTCCCTACCACACAAATGCATCTTCAATTTTTGTTGAAAGACAATAAAGCTCAGTTTGTAGCTGTGGCTATTTTAATTGGTACCTTTGTATAAATCACAAAGGCACCCTCTTTCTCAGGTAGATATTAGTTTTGGTCTTCCCCATTTGCCTTCTTGAGCAGATACCGTTGAACCCTTGTAGAAAAATGAGTATTTTCTAGGTACTATGAATTTTAAGTTTCCAAAAACCTGTCTCTATCATATACAAATTCACATGCATGTATAACAGCCATCATATAGCCAACTTACTATCAGCACCATTACAAATACCTTGTATTATTCCTTCCTGTAATACTTGTGAAATCATAAGAAGTACTATTTCACAAAGACCAAGACAGATTAAATAACTTGCATAAAGTTTCAAAGCTTTAGGATGGAATTTGAACCCAGTTAGATACCTGAGGTCCTGCTCTGTTTGTCTTTCCTTTGGTAAACTTTTCAAAAGCTTAATCAAAATTTATAAAAACACTASAAGTATAAATTCTAATATTTGAGGCCAAGAGAATGTAATTTAATAGAATAATGGAACTATAATCTTTAAAATGTCTTATGATACCCTTTATATTACAATGATAAAATGGTTTTGATTTTTAATTTTTTAAATTCTAATTTGTTATATATGACAGCAGAATGCTTTAAATTCATATTACACATATAGAGCACAATTTTTCATATCTGGTTGTACACAAAGTAGTCACACTATTTAGCTCTTCATACATGTACTTAGGGTAATGATGTCCATCTCATTTCCACCATCTTTCCTACCCCCATGCCCCTTCCCTCATACTCCCTCCCCTTTATTCTACCTAGAGTTCCTCTAATCCTCCCATGCTTTCCCCCCAACCCCATTATGAATCAGCATCCTTATATCAGAGAAAACATTCGGCATTTGTTTTGTGGGGGGGATTGGCTAACTTCAATTAGCATTATATTCTCCAACTCCATCCATTTACCTGCAAATGTCATGACTTTTATTCTCTCTTAATGCTGAATAGTATTCCATTGTGTATATATATCCACATTTTTATTATCCATTCATCTACTGAAGGGCGTTGGTTCCACAGTTTAGCTATTGGGAATTGTACTGCTATAAAGATTGATGTGGCTGTGTCTCTGTAGATTTTTTTTATTTAAAAGATCAAGCTATTGTAATTCTGACCAAATTCTAAGACTCCTGTATCATCCTAATGATTAGCAGTATTCCAACAAGGAGAGCTCATGCCTATAAAAGTATAACATTTAAATTTTATGCTAAATCAATAAATTCTGAACATCTTAAACTTGTTTTCTGGTTTTACAATTTTTATTAAAAGCACCTTTACATTTTAGAAAAGAAAACATTATTAAAATCTTCAGGTCACTTTTACTAAGTATATGACAGTTTATCCAATAATTCTGTCTCTAAAAATAAGGAGATAAGTGAAGTTTTTAAACTAATTTAGTGAAGATAAAAATTTATTACTAAAAATTATAGTATTTAAAACTATCATTAGGATTTAAATTATCAAAAATTTAAAAGTTTCTTCATATGATAGAGATACAGTAAGTGGGTTTTATAAAGATTCATAAATACTGCAATGAATGGGAAAATACCATATTGTGTAGAAACTATCTGGCTTACGCAGTATAACTGTATAACAATTAAAAGAGATTTTCGTATCAAAAACATTTAACTTACAAAATAGTTCACATGAGAGCAACTGAAAAAAATTGATAAGAAGAGAAAGATATAAAAACCTATTTTTAGAGGCTAGGATTGTGGCTCAGTGCCTCGAACGTGTGAGACACTTGAGTTCAATCCTCAGCACCACATAAAATAAACAAACAAAGGTACTGTGTCCATTTACAACTAAAAAAAATTTTTAAGCCTGTTTTTTTAAAAATTGACAAGATATTCCCGTAAGATAACATTTTTCAAAGCCAAGAAACTATCTCTGGGCATATGTGGTCATCATATCTATTAAAGGGTACCTATGAGATGCTGTGAAATAAATCTTTTAGGAGAATAATGACATGCCTTGTGAAGTAATTTTAAAAATGTGTATTATTTAAAATAAAACAGGGAATGAAATTACATTGTACATGTATTAGAAATTAAATAAAATTTCAAAGGCAAGCTTTTTTTAAAAAATGAGTCTGGATTTGCTGGTGGTATTCAAACTCTTTTTTTACTATGTTTTGGAGGCTATTGTTTAAAACTGACAAATGGTTGTACACATTTATAAAGTATAACTGATGCTTTAATACACATATACATTATGTAATGATCAAATTGGGGTGGTTATCCATCATATGTATTTATCATTTGTGGTAAGTACATTCAAAATCATCTCTTCTAGCTATTTTGAAACATTATAGTCACTCTACTGTGCAACAGAACATCAGAAGTTATTCTTTTTGAAACTGATCACATTATGTGATGTGTTAGGTATGTCACAACAAATTCCACTACTATGTGTAGCTGTTATATACAAATAAAATTTAATTTTTTAAAAAAGTGATTCCTTCTACTTAAAAAGAACTCTGTATCCACTGAAAAAAATTTCTCCCTTCCTTTTCCCCTGCCCTCATCACTCCCTGGTCTCTGGTAACCATTATTTACTCTCCACTTCTATAAGGTCAACTTTTTCATATTTTACATGTGATAAGATCCTGTGGTATTTATCTTTCTGCATTCAATGTATTTTTCACCCCAGTATAGGATGGCTATTATCAAAAAGGCTATCAAGGCTGTGGAGAAAGGGGAACTCTTGACAGGAATGTAAATTTAGTATAACCATTACAGAACAGTATGAAGTTCCTCAAAGATTTCCCAAGGTAGAAAAACAGATAGTTGTTCAAATGAAAAACAAGACCACTGGGTTGTCATGTTTTCAATTTCTAGATTTTTAAATAATGAAACTTATAGTTCACAAATATGTGTTTTACATGTTTTAGTTTAAATGTCTTAATATAGTAAATGACATGACTAGAACAAAGATGACTGATTATTTTCAGAATATTTGTATTGACAGAATATTTTAGGGCTATAAGCTTGCTATTATCAATCTTTCCCATTAAAWTGAATTATATAATCAAAGAACTGGGGTTAAAAAATGAAGAATTATTTCACTTTTTTCACTAAAAACCCCATAGCTCTTCATAACAAACAGAAGATTGAGGACWTTGATGCTATTATATATATATTTTTAAATTCAGTATCATTGTTTCTTAACCTGTAAAATGTATAAAACAATRTTCAAAATTTTCTTTTGAAAAAGTGTTTTTCACAAATAACATGTATCACATAAATCAATTTGGATCTTTTTCCAAATGGAGACGTAAATTTATTATTTTGCATTTATTATTTATGTGTGACTAAGAAATATTTACTATGGCTTGTTACCAATTAAATGTTCTAGAAGGATAGCTAAGATTTCACAAATGAAGTAAAAAACAGAAACATACAAAAATTAAGCAAACATTGTGAAATTTTATGTATTAATTTGGGCAAGAAGTTTTTGGACAAAGAGCCTAAAAGCAGAGGCAACTAAAGCAAAAATAGACAAAAAGAATTATAACAAGCTTAAAAGTTTCTGCATAGCAAAGGAAACAAAGTAAAAAAAGGCAATCTACAGAATGAAAGAAAATGCTTGCAAACTACACATCTGACATGGTGTTAATACCCATAATATACATGGAATGAAATAGCAGAAAACAAATAACCTGTTTGAAAAATGGGCTTGCATAGACATATTTCTTAAAAGAAGACATACAAATTGCCAGGAGATTTTATGAAAAAGTAACATCACCAATCATCAGGGAAATGCAAATCAAAATCACAATGAAATACCACCTTACTCCAATTAGAACAGCTATTATCAACAAGAAAATAGCACAAGTCCTAGTGAGGATGGAAGAAAGGTACCTTTTCACACTGTGTTGGGAATGTAATTAGTATAGCTGTTATGTAAAACAGTATGGAGACTCAAAATATTTTTTTAAAAAAGTAGAACTACCATATGATCCTGCTTTCCCACTACTACATATATATCCAAAGGTAAGGAAATCAGTATGTCAAACAGACATCTGCACTCCTGTGTTTACTGTAGCACTATTCACAGTAGCCAAAATATGGAATCAATCTAAGTGTCCATTATTGAACAAATAAATTTAAAAATGTGGTATATGCACACAACGGAATACTATTTCCCCCTAAAAAAAAAAAATGAAATTCTGTAATGTGTAACAACAAAGCTTCGGAGGACATTGTGTTAAACAATCCAGGAATCTAAACAAATACCAAACCCAAATCCAGGAACCCAAAGACAAATACCAGCTGAACTCGCTCACAGGTGAAATCTAAAAAAGTTGATCTCATAGAAGTAGACAGCAGAATAATGGTTACCAGAAGCAAGAGAAAGTAGAGGGTACAGGAGGATAAGGATAGGATGATCAATAGGTACAAAGTTATAGTTAAATAAGAGAAATAAGGGCAACTATGCTTAATAATAATAAATTATATATTTCAAAATATCTAGCTGTTTTTGAATGCATTTATCACAAAATATGATAAATGGTTGAGATGGAAATGCTTATTTGACCATCACACAATGTATACATGTATCAAAACATTACACTGTATCCTCAAATAAGTGTAATTAGAGTCAATTAGAAACGAAAGCAACAAACAAAAAGCATGGAATGTAGTTTGTTTCTAGCTCCCTTTGACAAATATGCATATATCCTCCTAACACCCAATGTCCAGTGCTGCAGGTTGGAACACAAGGGAAACAAAATCCTTCTAACATGAGCTGAGGTAGGACGCTTGTTTCTCACAGATAAAAAAATCACTCTAGAAAGAAGTACATAATCAATGTAGTTTAAATTTTATAATTATAGTTGAGAATAATTTTATATAATTCAGTAGAATTATCAAAGTTTTGCATAGATTGTGGCAGAATAATCAGTTTCTTGATATAATTTTGTTTTCTATTTCACCTCTGCTAAAAAAGGGTAATTCTACTTCCTCTCCAAATGACATCACAAAAAAATTATATATGAATTCCAAAAATAGTAACAGCTGGTATATGTATCTCTGTGTGTGTGTGTGCATATCTTTTTTTTTTTTAACTAAAAATATGGAAACTGAATGACTGGTCCAAAACTCCTGCCATAAAGGACATTCACTGCACATGTCCTGAAAAGTCAATCTACACCTTCTATATCTGTTTAAAATCATTGGGATTTTTCCTTGTCCTTAAAGGAAAAGGAGAATAAAAGCCACTTATAGATTTGTTTTAAATGTGATAAATATTCTTTCTTTTTACCTTCCAAAGAATATGTTCAGTTTAAGTCAAATGACGTGAACTTCAAGTATATAAAGCCAAATTATCTTTTTTATTTTTAAGACATCATCTCTTTTACCCAGGCTGGCCTCCAACTTCTAGTGGGCTCAACTGATTCCCCTACCTCGACCTCCTGAGCACAATTTTTACTACTCCAATGTCATCTGATTTTAACATTCTTATTATGTAGAAAGAAAATATATTATCTTGATAAGATCTCACAAGCCTATGAAATACAGTCACAGGTGATAGGACTCTTTATATTTTAAAAGGTCATAAAACAATCATTAGCCCTCAGCTGCTTTCTATAAAATATCTATTCTAAATGATATATTAAGTTCCATCCATAACAAGCTTCAAGATTATACTATTCACTGAGTTTGGCCTTAAAGATACCTATGAACATACAATTTTGGTTARGATTCCCCACAATATTTACAACTTGAATATATCATAGTTATAAAAATTCTAAATTATATGGAACCTTTTCTTTTAAAGTTGATTTAGATAATATAACCTGTTATTCTAATAGCGCAAAGACTGAAGTTTCTCTAGAAAAGAAAAACCCAGAACTATTGCTCAAAGAGAAGTGCATTATACTGTAAAATTATTGTAAACCTATGAGTTACCAGGGGGTGTAGAAGTGTGCCCTGGTGGCAGAGCAAGGGCCTAATGTCATAAAACTCTGAAGGGTGCTCTTTGCAATGCTCTCTGTAGCAATGGTACCCTCAGAGTTGTGCTCTGTGATGAAGTGGAATGACGATAGAGCCCCTATCTCTACCATTTAATAGTATGCTTTTAGGAAAGTTATTTAATCTCTCTACAGCTTAAAAGTTCTCATATATCAATGAAGATAATGATAGCAATGTTTTCAGATTATGTCTTAGAGCTGTACAGTAATTAAGAGAACTTTTTTGGGTTTTTGCTAGATATCTAGTCATCATTTCAAAAAAATATTTACTAAGTGAATGCCTTTTCTATGCCAAGCAGTGTTCTAAGGGATTGTGGATGTCAAAGTGATCCAGAGATTAAAATTTAAATTTAAAATTTCAGCTTTCATGTACCTTTTATTTTGGTAATACAAAGAAACATGTGATAAAAAGTACAAAATAACCTCTGTGGATACATGTAGGGCACCTATTTTGGATAGATTGGACAGGAAAGACTGTTTGGATAAGGTAATATCTAAGCAAAAGTCCAAAACAAAGGGAGGAAGACAGCCTTGTGATTATCTGTGGAATGTGTTCCAGGGCTGGGAACTGGCAGCATCAGAGACCTGTCGCAGGGCACACTTGGCATGTTCCACAATAGCAAGGAAGCTAGTGTGGCAGCAGATGGGATGCATGGAAGAAGATCAAAACAAGAGATGGAATACTAAGCACTAAAGCTATTCCAACTGTTTTCTGACTCAGGTGAGTCAACATCTGGGTACAACTGGTTTACTGAGTCTCCTGGTTCCTGATGGTGGGAATTTGTTTCACCAAAATTAAAATAAAAAATGGGTATTAAATACAAGGTTTTTTAAAAAAAGAAAAATTGAAACCAGAAATAATTTTAAGGATAAAAGATAATGGTTCTGGTTGAAGCACAACCTATAAAATTCAGAACACATGTTTTAAAATCACAGTGCAAGATTTCTATACCTGTGGAACTACAAATTATACTTTTCTGATAAGACTTACATAATTGATGCATTAGCCAATGACTCTAAATGAGCTCACCTATAAATGGGATGGAAGCCAAGGAATCACCAGGCGGGCTGGTACTTGAGGCCTTCCTTTCCTCCATTCTTTTTATATGGACCTCTCGGCGTGCATCATTCGGCAACCAGCAGGTGGTATCTGACCCAGTATCCTGGTCATTTACTGCTAAGATGTAAGACTGATGCCTTAAAGGCTGTGGTGTTTGGCGACCAGATGGAGGTTTTTCTCTTAGGATGACAGTTTCTTTATTATCTAAAGCATTTGTTTGCTGAAGTTCAGCCTCTTGTAAATTTGGATCTTGATTCCTTTGAAGAGAGAGTTCTAAACCTGAAGTGCCCACAGTCTCGCTCTTCTGAAGGCCAGGCTTAACAGAAGCTCCAGATAAAGAGAGGGCCTTCCCAGTCTCCACTTGGCGATCAGGGGTGCTTTCAGCTCTGAACCACGTCTGCTGATTCAATACACTGTTTTGATGCATGTGATTTACCGGTCTTTGGTCTTTGATAGACACCAGTGAGTTCTGGCTGAATGATGGTTTTGTGACATGTGTGGAAGGTGCTTTCAGAGAATTACTCCGGACTTTTACAAGAGGTGACCTGTCTTGTGAAATACCTCGMGGCAGTGACGTTCCACCAGTAGTTTGAAAATTCCTGTTGGACTGCGGTGTTTTTAGATCTGATGGAATTTTTTTAAACTTCGACACAGATCCTACTCCTCTACCACTCATTCGCCTATTATCAGAATTAACAACACTTGGAGCCACAGTCAAATTTGAACCTCGAAAAGATTTATGAATTTCTTGTTGCCTGGGCCTTTCATAAATACCTCGTCTATCATCCTGTTCAGTAAACCCACTCCACTTATAAGTCTGTTTTCGCTCCCCATTTGAATCAGGTATTTGACTTTCAGAATTAACATTTTCTAAGGTTTCACCTTGTCCCTCAATGTAATCCCATGAACGAGTTCTATGATTACTGAAACTAACGGGTGGAGATGTCAGTGCGCCTTGAGATGCACTTCTTGGACAATACTTCATTAGCACAGAATCTTCCAGTCTTTCCTGGGAGACACTGCGTTGCCGAATCTGAGCAGACTGGGGCACTCGATCATGAGAGGTGCTTCGGCGTCGTACCTGCAAAGAAGTGCGGGTTGGTACCACCTGGTTATAATCCGTTGTGCTCTGAGATGCTGCTCTTAAACTATCCAATCTTTCTTGAATTGTCCGACAACCTATGTGCAATCGTCTGTTATCAATATACTCCTTGTAAGTTTTATAGTTTTTCCAGTCTATGTGCTGATGGGAATTTGGGGAATAGTGATTAACAGATACAGAAGGAGAATCTACAGCTTGAGATCTACTGCTTGATATTCCTTCAGATTGTCCACTGTAATTTCCAGATTTAAGTAAAATTCCAGAAGGTTCTAATGACCTAGAACCTGCAGTCTGATGAATAAGATGGGCAGTAGGAATTGATGATGGTGGTGATGTGGTTCTTGACACTATTTTTAAAGGGTTCTGTTCACTTACACCATACCTTACTTCTTCAGTTCTGTGTGAAGGACCTGTATGGTTGTTTCTACTGGATAACAAGTCTACAACCTTCTCAGAAGGCACAATGACAGTCCTTACACTTTCATTGCAAACACACACTGCTGTATTTGATTTTGCAACATCTGTTGGTGATGGAGGCACTTGTATTTCCATTCTATAAGCCCTGCCAGGTTGTGTCAGGACTGGTGTACTGGTTTGCTGTTTGCTCAATGACAAATCTGGAGGAGATATTTCAACTGGCTGCGCCATGGCTGAAGGGGCAGATGGCAACCAGGGATAGCAAACTGGTGGAGGTTCAGGTATATTACGGGCATTGCCGCTATAGGCTTCATTGCCTTTCAGGTAGGCATCTTGAGAATATGCCTGTATGGAAATGAAAGAAAAATATCACTTCAAATTCACAAAACAAGTCCCATGTTTGTAATTCACTATTTTACTTTAATATTTTTCCTTGATCCTGAATGACACTCACTATAGCATGCATGCAAACACAACATGAGAATTCCACATATCTAGAAAAGAAATTTTCTTGCAGAAATCAAATAGATTGTAGAATGTGCAACATAGAGGGATTACAATCACTTATTTTCTCAAAAGATGTAAGACAACATCAAATTTTCCCTAAGCAATTAGATAYATAGCCATGTTGCTTCTAGAATTCTACTCATTCAAAGCTTTATGATTTTTCAGCAGTCAGCAGGTTAAATGGTCGCCTACTAAATCCCAGCAAAAGGTTCTTTTGCTAGACAGAGGGTGAAAATATTAAAAATCTTATCCAAAAACATTTATTTTAAGCACAATTATCAATAATGAAATATGATTTATTGAAGTGTCTTTTCAATTAGCCATTCCAGAATCCATAATAATCCATTTGATAAATTAAGCCTTTCAACAGCCATGCTAAATATTTTAATATTTAAAATAACAGAATATGCATGTTAAATTAAGCACGTGTAATAAAGGCAAAAAAAACAGAGGAAAAGGAAATTCATCTTTCTGTTTATAATTTACATTTTTTATTTTAAGTTCATGCAAAGTTATATAAATTTATTTGGTCTCTTATTTATTACAAAAAGACCTTTATTACTAACAGGCAAGCATGCAGCTCAAATTATTTCTTATCAACTATTTATGAATTGCAGTATTTTAAAAAATTTAAGAACAAGTGAAATTAACTACAGAAACTACAAAACAACTCATCAATGTAACACAGTACTATGTTTAGCATCTGGGAGTTAGGTGTGGTAACATATCTTCCCCTAATCAAAACAAGCTTAACTCAAGACTATCATCATTTTCTGTCTTTGCATTCGACAGCTTGCAAAACTCAAATGCAGCCAATAACATAACATAACACAACATAACATAACATAACATCAAAGTACTAGAGAAAAGAGGGTGAGAAACTTAAAAAAAATACTGATGCAAACAAATATTATGCTTTTAAACCAGTTATATATAGGATACAAAAGCAAATCAAACATTAAAAAGAAAGAAAACACCATTAAAGCTTTCTGAAAATTAGTAAGATTAACACTATAAAGAGATTTCTCTAAGCAAACTTACAGTTTTAATAGATTGGTTTATTACAAATCTCTAAAAAACATGACTTTAAAAGCAAGGAAATGGCTACTGTGCATTTCTTACCAGAGCTGTGACATCCTTTGTAAATTGTAGCTAGCAGAAAATAGGAAAACATAGCAGAAGCTGCTTACTGATATAAAGACAGAATCATGTTGTCATATTGATGCTGGAAACAGCAAGCTAAAAATACATCTATACTGATTTCTCTGGAAGGTACCAAGAGAGGTAAAGGGCAGTGAAGCATAAAGAATAACTTCAGTATCCTTCTGAGCATCTTTTTCTCAGGCTTTTATCTAGGTCTTATTTGATTGGTCTACCACTCTTGAAGCAAAATACATTTGGTGACGTGCATCCTTAACAGATTTTTTTCTTCAATATGCACTGCTATCTGATGATGTGCTATAAAGGCTTCCCTTCTACACGAGCAACATTGATGCCTCTCATTTCCCCTGAGCTTCTTCCATCTCTGCTATCCAGATGACGAAACGAATGCTCTATTATGCATTTAAAATAGTACAACCTCCTTCTTCCCCAGTAAATCAGAGCATAACCACAAGCTGTCAGCTGACTCCAGCTGCCTTTACACTATGATTTGGGTGAAAAAAGACTGTTTTGTTAAATAAATTTCACTCAGAAATTAAGACCTTTCAACATTGTACCTTTTGTGTTGTTTTACCAGTTTATTAAATGACTTCAAAATATACATACAAATATTACTTCCAGAGTAAAACTTACAATGAGTACTTCAGAACAAAGACTGGAATGCAGTGAGAAATTAAAGCTAGGTATATAAGAAGAAAATATGCATAGCATAACATTTTTACAGCATAAACACCATCTTGCATGAACATGCATCATGCATCTTGGGTATGTGCATGGACATAACAAGCTTATCTTATATAAGYTGACTGAATATACACCATTGCTTTTCTGTGACAAAAAACTGCCTGAATGAGAGCATCCTGTAGTCTGGTGCAGTATTTCCTGCAGCAGGTTTGTGTAATCTCATTATGTACCACTTGAAAAGAAGGGCAGATCCCTATAGCCAGTGATGTAGGAGAAGTTGGGAAGCTTCTGGACTTCTCAAAATCTCTATATTAGTATACATTGTGAAACCTGAAGGAAAAGTAGGAACTTATTTACTATAGAACYTATCTATTTCCAAAGGTTTTAAAATGATTAGAATATCCTGCTTGGGAAATGCTGTTGTAGAACTAATAACTTAAAGATACCTCTTTTATTCCAAATTTGGGGAGGAATATTATTTTAGTAATTTTAAATATTACTAAAATATTAAACTACTGAATACTTTTAAAATACATATATTTCAGATATGTATAAGAATCCTGTATAGCAAGTCTAAATGATGAATAGCCTACCTGTAGCCACAGGTCCCAACTTCTGAGTAAAGATATAACAAGGGGTCCTTAAATTCATACATATGGACCATACATTAAAAACAAATTAATTAAACAGAACATCTCACATACATGGAACTATTACCTAATATAAGCAAATACAGTTGAGATAATAAAATATGAATTCATTTAAGAACATTGCTAAATTTCCTCATATATTCTCAGTTGATGAACACCAAAAACCTTGTTTATACTATTTACTTTCTTATTTAAAGGCTCTTCATTTTCATATTTGGGGAAAATACTACTCCAAATTACTATCCATGGAGAAATAACAGTGCCCCTCAGGTCACATTGTGGAGTAGTATGTGTTATACTGGCATATGGTGACTGGCAGGTCATAGACATTCCTGAGAAAATTCTGGAACATGTATGGCTATTCTGAGGGGTATATGGTATATGACAAATTATTTCCCAAATCATATTAGAGAAATAAACCAGGACTATACAATAAGCATCTTAATGAATCCTTTTCTCCATGATACCTCTAAGTGTTCCCCTAGAAAACTACTGGCCTGCTGTAGGCTCCTTCTAAGAAGAAAGCATTCATAGGGGCTTAGACAAATACTGGGTGGGTCATCTGGAATAGAACACAGAGTGAGGCTCTTTGAGGTGAATATTAAATGCAAATGGTTTCATATTCTGGGAACAGATTTGAAAACTCTGTAACTTGCTCACAGCTGTCAGGTGTTCTCTGTGTCCTTGTTTACAAAGTAACAAATCTTTCATTGAGTCATCATGGTCTGATGGTCAATGTTTTAACTACCCACTGGGAATCTTTGACTTGTCAGTAAGTACCAATTAAATGGCACAAAATATCATTTAAACAAAATAATTATATTCTTTTTAAAAAGTATTTCTTTTGTTGCGCATGGTCACAATATCTTTATTTTTTTAATGTGGTGCTCAGGATCAAACCCAGTGCTTCACACATGCTAGGCAACCACTCTACTACTGAGCTACAACCCCAGCCCCAAAGTAATTATATTTTTATATAATGATGTCAAAACCATACTGTGTTAATAAGTTGTCTGAAATGGTATGATCAAACCAGTGTCATTAAGAATTGAATATTCAGGGCTGGGGATATAGCTCAGTTGGTAGAGTGCTTGCCTCGTATGCATAAGGCTCTGGGTTTAATCCCCAGCACCCAAAAAAAAAAAAATCATATATTCAACTATTAACAAATTTTGGTTTTTACTTTTTAAACCCAAATGAATACTTTATAATATGTACATGTGTTTAAAAGATTAACACTTAAGTTTTTCCCCAAATAGAATATGGTTAAAAAAAAAAAAGCCAGTTCTTGTCATTTAGCCCCCTTTTCACACCACTTACCACTCCACACCCTGTCTTGAATTTCCTTTAGCCTTGCACTTAAGTTTTATATTTTGGAGTTTATAGCTTACATTTTAAAATTGAAATCATACCTAATGAAAATAAAATAGCAGAGACTTTTTTGTGCTTATTGCATCCAAAAATCTCTGAACAAAAGCAAAAAGGTGAGGGAGAAATAAGAAAGATGACCCACAGAATTCTTCATTTGGAATCAGAATTGTAAAAAGCATATTAAATAAACTTTTATATTAATATAATAGTCTGAGTCTTAAGTATAGGTACCGTGCCAAACAGTAACTAAATATCCTAAAATATTAGGATATTTTCAGTTCAGTTTTAAGAGTCACATCAAAATCACTATTATCATATCTATACCATTAAATGGTAAACAAATAAATAACAACAAAAAAACCCAGCAAAATAAAATGCCCTACAGAACAAAGAGGCTGATGAGATTTTTAAAATTCTTGGCTACAGTTCATCTTTAAAAGTTAATTTATTAATTTAATGTCATGAAAAATAAGTGAGAAATAACCATCTGCCTGTTGATATACTAAAATGCAAGCTGGCCATGCTACAGTGGTACAGGTGGTACAGGTGGGAAGGAACAAACAGAGCCTTGGATGCAGTCCAAGATGTTGAGTTAGAATTAGGGCCCTGACACTAACTAGAAGTGTGACTTAAGGTAAGCCCCCAACCCAGAAACAAATCTGTACTTGATGGCAGCACAACACTGTTGTTGGGAACAGGATTCAGTCTCACACTCACCCAAGTTCAAATCCTAGGAACAATGCTTTCTTCCTTATTCTATTAGACAAGGTATTTAACAGTGTTATTAGCAAAGAACAGCACAGAGCAGGCTAAAAATGCTCTGGCCAAACAACAAACCTACCCAAGAATCTACAGAGTTAACAGAACTGATTAATTTAAACTCTGAGTCCAATGAACCCAATGCTTAACAAAATATCTTGTGTCACACATCAAGARAAATGCCCAAATCTCATTCTCCTATCACTATCTCATTTAAGGAAGGATTTGCTAATGGTCTCTTGTGATGCAATGGATAGCGCCTTGGACTTCTAACCAAACTTGTACTGGCCATTCAAGAAAGGATTGCTGCAATCAGTGCTGTGGTCTGTTTGTGTGGCCCCACATTTCATATTTTGAAAGGTTATCACCTGAGGGGTAAGTGTTAGGAGATGAGGCCTTTGGGAGGAGATCAGGTCATGAGGATGGAGCCCTTATACATGAGATTAGTGCTCTTATGAAAGARGCCCCACACAGCTGCCTTGGCCTTACTATACCACTAAGTAAGACACCATCCCTGAGGAAATATACCCTTACTAGAAACCTTGAGCTTTGAATTTCCCAGCTCTAGAACTGTGAAAAATAAATCTTTGTTGTTTATAAGCCACCCAGCCCATTAAAGGTATTCTGTTATAGCAGCCTGAATTAAGACAACCCCATTCTTTAGGTTACTTGAAGGGTAGTAGCTATTTCATTCATGCACACTTGATAGCAAAACAAAAACTTTTTGTTCTTTTGGAAATGAAACAAGAAATATCTTTTATTATGTAGTAATTCCTTAAAACATGAATATATATTTTTATCCCAGTTTAACATAGTATTATAAAAAAATTGTCAAATGACTAGACTGTATTATTCTTCATTCTTTTAATCTAGAAAGTATATTGGTTTTAAAAAGCTGCTACACACAGAAGTACTATAACCAGCAGTAGTTTAGAAACATAATTATTTTTAATTTTATTTCATACTTTCAACCTTCTATCAATCTATCACTAGATAACTATTTATCTAAATTAGACATTAAACCAAATAAAATTTTCTATGCCACCTCTCAAAGATGAGTTGAGCACTTCTAGAATAATTTGGCTCATACCTCATTTCAGGAAACAAACACCACATACTACCCAACCCTACTGTTGTCCAGGTAAGCACATATAAACTACTATGGGCTTTTCCATGGGTGAATGATTTTTACAGTGGCTGTAAAAAAATCATGTTATTTTTTTCCTTTTAAATGAATATTTACCCTTACAGGGATAGGCACATATTTTAAAGTGCATCTTTTGAGTATCAATTTAAGATCAGTGTCCTTAAGTACTCCTGAAGGTTCTTAATAAACTATTTTAGCTCAAGAATCTGGGCTAGAGACATAGTACTTCTACATATGGTTTTTTTAAATCCCAAACTCTGTTATATAATAGCTCTAAAAATTGACACTTGTATTTATTCTAGTGAAAAACAGTTTATGCAGAGAAGAAGTTGACATAGCCTAATGTCCTTTGTAGAACAATGTGTAATGTATTAATTATATATATTTATACATATTTATTATATATCTATATGTAATTAATACACACATTCCTTTGGCTTCCTAATAAATTATAGTACATTAAAATATGAATTAAGGCAAGGTTTAAAAACAGACTTTTTGGGCCAGGCACAGTGGCTCACACCTGTAATTCCAGCAGCTGGGGAAGCTGAGGCAGGAAAACTGTGAGTGCTAAGCCAGCCTCAGCGAGGCCCTAAGCAACTCAGTGAGACCCTGTCTCTATAAAATACAAAAAAGGGCTGGGGATGTGGCTTAGTGAGTTGAGTGCCCCTGAGTTCAATCGCAGGTACCAAAAACCAAAAACAAAAAACAGAATTTTCTGCACTGGGAACATAGCTCAGTGGTAGAGTGCTTACCTAGCATACCCAAGGCCCTGGTTTCAATCCCTAGTATCACCAGGAAAAAAAMCAAAAAACCMAAAACAAAACAAAAACCCTTTTTTTGAGTTTTCTATTATTTTATTAAGGGCATGTGCTTTTACACTTTAATGATTAAAATAATTCAAATAACATGTTTTAAAAGTGAATTTTATGTTACAGTATACCAAAATATTTACTGATGAGCCTTGAAGATCTATATGCTCATGTCAGCTACTACTTTCCCCTATGTTTGTAACAATTGCATTTTTACCTTTATTTTAAATTTACCCATTACAAATAAAATAGAGCAAGACAAAGTAACTTAATTTCCACTAATCATATCACTAGAAAATTCTTTTTGTTGCATCAAGTGGTTTGCAATTTTCTATCTACTGCACAATGGGTTACATTGGAATTCTGCATTTAATTCGTTCCTTAGAAATTCAGTATAATGTCATTCATTCTAGAAACAAGCTCTTCTTTCTAAAAGGCATCTAACCAATGCTTTTACCTTGGCAAGGAAAGAGTGGATTAAAGATGAGAAATCAGTTCAGTTTGAGAAGTCAAGTCTGTCTTCAAGTTTTCAAATTTCAAGGCTGAATCAAGGTATAGCCTTCACTACATTAACACATTACCTTCTAGTACTTTGTACAGAAGAGGATTAGAGGAACATCCTGTTTCTAGTCTAATGACTCACAACCATTGGTTTCAATGGYTGCTGCTCTAATACCATATTGAATTATCAGGGTGGGTAATCTGTAACTATCTATGTGCCTAAGAAAATTGCTGCAGACAGCTGCAACTTCTTCCCTTCCTTCCTTTATTTATTTATTTATAGTTGTAGATGGGCACAATACTGCTATTTTATTTATTTGTTTATTTACATATTTCTTTAGATGTTGATGGACCTTTATTTTATTCTTTTATTTATATGTGGTACTGAGAAACGAGCCCAGGGCCTCACACATGCCAGGCATTGTGCTCTTACCACTAAGCCACAACTCCAGCTCCACTATTTTATTTTTTTATGTGGTGCTGAGGATGGAACCCAATGCTTTACACATGCTAGGGAAGCACTCYACCACTGAGCTAAATCCACAACCCCATGCACCTTCCTTCTTGAGCCTCCCTAATCCCACAGAACTGTGTACTTCAGAAAGGTAATCTGTTACCAGCAATAAGTCATTTCTATGTAAAATCAACACCCCTTGAAAACACTGTGTTGATCTCCAGAGATTTCAGTTTATTATATTTTACATGTCATGAATAATGAGAATCAAGGATCCACATGAGCAACTTTTTTGTAAACAAAAAATTATACAGAAGATTATTTAGGACTTTTTTTTAGCTAAGTTCAAACTAAGTTCCCTGTTTTTGTTTTATTTGCTCTTTTTAGTTACACATGATAGTAGAATCTATTTTGATATTTATTCCTTAATTTAGTAATAAGAAAAATAAGCAATAATAAGTTATAAGAAATAGAAATAAGTAATAAGAAAAAACTCAATTATTCACACACACAAAAAAAGAATTTTAAAAAATACTTCAGTGTCCATTCCTATTTCCTAGATCTATTGGAGGTCAGTACGTTATTTAAAGTGCTTTCCTCAGTGTACTTTACTACAAAGTGAATCAAAAGAAAATATGTTTTGCATGAAATTTATATTTTTATCACCTTAAATTTACYTTCAGAAATACTGAAGCTAAATAAAGGAGTTAAGTATTCCAATACATTTCTTCCTTACATAAAAATCAGAAAAACATGTTTCACGTACATAATTTCATTTCTCCTAGCATAGCATATATTTTCCTTAAGTTATACATCCAATTCACTGTGGCCAATACTTCTAATGGAATGAATTGATACTCTTAACAAAACTGCTTGGTAATTTTAAACAGTGATAGTTATTATATCATTAGGAAATGGCTTTCAAAAAATTTCTGTGCTTGTATGTTTTTTAAAAATCTAATTCCTATGGATATGCACTTGCACTCTGATATTTGGCTTTTGTTCAAAGCATTACCTAGATATAATGCTGGTCTCATCCTGAAGGACAACATTGAAAGTTCACTGTGAAATCAATATCACTCAATTCTCTTGTCACTTAATTGCAAATAATTGACTAGTATTTTTTTGTTTTTTGTTTTTAYAAAATGTAAAGAAATTTATACTCTGCTAAATGAAACTGGAGGACTTTTTTCTATAATCTTTTTTTAAAATGTACTCCACCTTCATCTCAAAACTATTTTATTAACATTTCTGACTATAAACAATTCATACTTGAATAGATAAAAACTTACCACTTGGAGAATATCTTCATCTTTTGGCATAACACTAAGTTCCAATGTTGTATCACTGAAATTGAATATATACAAATACTATTTTAGGGGAGGTGGAAATGTATACAAAAGACTTAAAAGAAAAAAGAGTTAACTAAGAAATATATTTTAAATTGTTTCAGAGTTTAATTATTTTTAATTTTTACTTTTCCAGATTGTATCACTAGAACAAAAATAAGTCATTTCTATATAGGAAAAATAATGTACAAAAAAGGGTGCACTGCCATATGTCTGTACTACTCATCAAGTGTTCTTTATAATGTGCTTCAAATTTAGAAATACAGCGTTACTTATTATTTATTATTTTATTCAAGTTATAAAGAAATTAAGAGATTTTTATCACACAGTCTATTATCAAGTTAAAACTTGTTAAAATAGGGGCTGGGATTGTGGCTCAGTGGTAGAGAACTTGCCTTGCAAGTGTGAGGAACTGGGTTTGATTCTCAGCACCACAAATAAATAAATAAATAAATGTCCATCAACAACTAAAAAAAAAAAAAAAACTTGTTAAAATAAAATAACTAAAGAACCCTCAAATTTAACTATTTGTGTGTATGTGTGGTCCTGTGGACTGAACCAAGGACCTTCAGCAAGCGAAGCATACGCTCTACCACCTCTAGGCTCTCAAACATAACACTTTAAGCAATACTAAACATTCTGATTTTAAATATTGCCTCTTGGCTTCATAAATGAAGCAAATCAGTTCACCATTGCAACTACTGAAATGATTCATTTTTAATAACTATAATAATATCTCAACTATTTGCTTTCATGCTGTGATTTAATTTTAGAATCTTTTCAGGAAAAGCTCAAAGCCTTATTTATTTTTGTGCTATCAAATTTCTGTTAAACACGATAGAGAAGTTTCTCTAGCTTTAAAAATGTTGAAAGGAGGATGAAAGTGTAGCTCAGTGGTAGTGCACTTGCCTAGCATGTGAAAGACTCTGGGTTTTATCCCAGCACCACAAAAGGGATAAATTAAATGGAATCCCATGATCCRGAATTACGTTTAGATACAGCAAGGACAGTGGTGCTATCTCCACCAAGTGCTTCAATAGCTAATCTAATAAAAATCATATTTWCCCCCAATATAATTGGAAGATTAAGGGTGGGGGACACAGTAAATCTAAAATTAATCCATCTCTTTTGGATAGGTTTAAACCATTATTTTTAGGATCATAAATGTTGGGAGAATGATATAACAATGAGAACCACAGGTTCTAATAAATTTAACTAGTAAAAGATGGAGGTACTTGTATTTCAATATTCAGAGTTGGCAGAAAATACACACAGTTTTAAAAAATTCTCATGCAAGGATATTTGCTACCAACTGTAGACAAAGAAATAAAACTTTTTAAAAGAAAATAAGATCATTGAAAAAGTGTTTCTCTAATTTTTAAATTAATTTTATTGCAAAAAAAATTAAAAGACTATCATTCCAAAGTATTATTACTCTGAAAGATCTACACTAGTAACAATGGGATTATGTGCATTTTAAAGAAAACAAAGATTACTTGGGAAAATAATATTTTTAAAGAAGAGATATTAACAAATACACTTAAAAATCCTTAAATTATAGACTGACAAAATATTATTGTATTTATGAATGATCTCAATTATGAGGAAAAGAAAATGCCTCTCATAGAGGCCTTAAATTCACCACCAACATTAAGAGGCAAGATTTAAAGAGTTGTTTTCTCTGAGAATCTCATTAAATATTAAAAACATTAAAGAGAATACTCTGAGATCAATTAATCATGATCATGTCATTTAATTTTAAATTCAAAATTGACAATTTCTTAGGGCATTACCATAAATAATTTAGATTACAGCATGAACTGCTTTAGACATGGCTAGAGGAGCTTGAAAAAAATTTAGAAAATAAAACCTTCAATCAAGCTGTAGACAGTTGAGTCTGACAAGAACCATTAAATATCCAAAAGTTATGGTATTTGAATATGAAAAGACCTCTTAGAATAGAGTGGTGATCTGAATATTGGACCCAGATTCATGGCCTATTCTTATCTTTAAAATTTTTATTTTTTTGTGGTTGTAGATAGTTTATTTTTATGTGGTGCTAAGTATAGAACCCAGTGCCTCATGCATGTTAAGCAAGCACTCTACCACTGAGTGACAACCCTAGCTCCTTATGACCTAGTACTGACAGAAACTCAATTATAGTGACCTCTTTGGCTTTTCATTTCTTCACTTGTAATTTAAAATTTGATGGGTAAAAGAAACAGAGTACATTCAACTCCATTMTTTTTGAGGCCTAAAAATATGTATTTACCTTTATAACTCAAAATTCTATCATTCTACAGATTATGGCAAAYGAACTAAAAAAGGAATGTCTTGCTCTGTTGGTTACAACAAATGAATAAATTTAAGCCAAAAAGATATTCAAAAAGATATCAGTAAGATAAATTATTTTTTTAAAATCTTTTTAGTTGTAGTTGGACACAATATCTTTATCTTATTTATTTATTTTTATGTGGTGCTGAGGATCAAACCTAGTACCTCATACATGCTAGGCAAGTGCTCTACCACTGAACTAAAACCCCAGCCCAAGATATATTAATTTTAATAAAACATATGAAAATTAAAGTATCTTAGTAAGAGGTTTTAAAATCAACTAGGTATTTCTTTTTTTTTCAATTTTTTTTTTGTTGTTGTTGCACATGGACACAATGCCTTTAATTTGTTTATTTATTTTTATGTGGTGCTGAGGTTTGAACCCAGTGCCTCACACATGCTAGGCAAGTRCTCTACCATGAAGCCATAACCCCAGCCCAACTAGGTATTTCTTTACAGTTACTTTAAACAAATTATATATTTGCCACTTCAAAAAAAATTGGAAATTTACAGTAAATCTAAAACGTGTGCCTCTCAGAATCTAAAAGGATTTTTAAAAAAAATTTTTTTAGTTGTAGGTGGACACAATGCCTTTATTTTTATTCATTTAGTTTTATGTGGTGCTGAGGATCGAACCCAGTGCCTCACCTGCACTAGGCAAGCATTCTACCTCTGAGCCACAATCCCAGMCCYGTCAGAATCTAAAAGGATTTTAATCACAAATCTGACAAATTTGCCAAAGCAAAGCCACCTATTAAGTTATCCTTAGGTAGGTGATACTTGACAACTTTCAAATATATTATCTACTACAAAGCAAAGTTCCAATTGCCATGTCATCCAATTCCTTACAGGAATATGAGGCTATTAAATCTGCTTGCTACTGATTTATAAAACCTGTCTTTGGCCAAAATAAATCAATTCATTTTCAAGAATCTTACCTGTTCTGAATTAGAGCAATTACTTGGGAATAGGTCTTTCCAATAACACTTTCTCCATTGACTTTTATAATTCGGTCACCTTCAAAGAGGAATAAAATGACACATGAGGAAGTCTTAAAGAAAGTCACTTTAGAATTATTTTAAAATATTTCTTCATCTTCCCCACCCCCGCCACCCCGAGTGCTGAGGACTGAACTCAGGACCTTGCACATGCTAGGTGCTCTACCCAGATCTCCCAGGGCTGCATCCCAGCCCTGAAAATGTCCTTATTTTTCATATATCTTTGTTCATATATTTTAAAGTACCWTTTACAAAAATGAATCTAAATATATTCAGCTACTTATGAAATATAGCCACATTCTAATAAGACTTCTTGACACTGATGAATTTAGAAAACTACTAATATCCCCGTCGGTTGTTTTCAGAGTTATGGAACTACTAGTTATCTCTCCAGTTACACTGTCATATCTGATAGAGAACATTATTCAACAGTTTCAAAAAACTGATGATTTTTATTTCATCAGTGTCCTCAAATTTTAGTACAGCTGATTTTCTTTTAGTATTCTTTTGATCTATATATGATTTATTGATTTGTCTGTACTATAAAACTAAAATATGGGTATTCACATGCTTTTTGACTCTATATATTAATTTGTTCTTCATTTTAATGGCGAAAAAGACTATTACTTAGAAAAACTCAGAGGAACAAAAAAAAGGAAAGAGAGATAAAGGACAAGGAGAGAAAGGACAGAGGAAAATAGGGGAAAAAAATTACTCTTGTGTTTCTCAACGATCTTACTTCATCTTCTCTATATTATGACACTGACAATATCATAGAAGTTACATTCTATATAATGGAATACCATATGAACACTAACATACATATTAATTAGGCTTACTTTAAGTATGATGAGAAGGATAATTAAGATTTACATTAACACTGTATTTTAATAAATCTTAGCTATTATTTGTAGCTAAAAATACATTTTATTCAAGACAATAAAATTTTCATTGATTCCCATTTTAAATTATTTCATGTTTTTACCCAAGGCAGAAAAGAATTACTATTTTAAAACATTCACTCATCTATGACATCTCTATTTAGTTTATTAAAACCAGAAATCATAAAATATTTTAGAGGAAATAGCCACTAGATTCAACTAATTAGATCACATCCACTGATACCTGTAGATCAAGGGAGGCTACCTGGAAACCTAAGCCACTCTTTGTGCTGAAAATGAATTAATTCACCTCTGGCTGATCAGGCAACTTCCAGAATTTGGAGATCTGAAATTATTTCAATTATGTCAAATAAATATCTTCCATCAGTTTGCTATTTGGTAATCCTTTGTAGGATTCAATATATATGATTTCAATATATGAAAAATAGATCTTTATAAGAGCCATTAAGCCTGTTATGTGTGGGGTAACTAACAATTTATTAATTTATTAGTTTTCTTTGAACCCATTTATTTGAGTATCAAACATATAACTAGACACAAAGAAAAAGGGACAAACTCATAAAAGAAAAAGAAAAAATGTGGAACACACAAATGTGAAAGAAGGGACTGGGGATAAAGCTCAGTTGGTAGAGTGCTTGCCTCTCATGCACAAGGCCCTGGGTTAATCTTCAGCACTACCAAACTTAAAAAAAAAAAAAAAAAAGTGGAAGAAGGAAGAAATGAAGTAAAAATAAAAGGTTTTGTTTAAAGCAAATTATCAGCACCTGTGCATAATCCAGCTTCAAAGGCAGGTCCTCCTTCTTTAACTTGTTTAACAAATATGGTATCCATTGGTTCCAAGCGGTTTCTTTGTTTTCCTGTGGGAAAGAAAAAGCCCAAGGCATGATTTTACTTCACAATATTTTATCAAAATACCAAAATATTAATTAAGACAAGYGGAGATTTCTGAGGAGGCAATAAAAGCATATTTTTGAATCTGGATGATAAACTCACAAAATAGGGGTTTTCATTAACTCTAACATTTATTTTGCTTCTTCCATAACACAGTGAAAGCTACATTTGATGGTTTCCATTTACTAAGTACATTCTGTATGTCAATAACTATACTACACACTATACATACCTTAAAACTGCTAATTTTCATAGTAAGTAAGTCTTACAACCACTATTGCATAAAAAAGAAAACTGAGGGTCAGAGGGATTAAGTAAGTTCTCCAAGGACACACAGCTAACAAGTGGCAAAGTTCATTATACAGGAAGTGCCAGGCTACTGCTTTTTAATTACTGCATTGTGCTAAGTATTAAAATATGATGAACAAGAGGTTTCTTCCCTTCAAGGATACTGGGAGAGGAAAGACATACATATAAATATTGGTATACTATAAAAAACAGACAAACACAAAACATAGTCATGGAAATGAGAACATGATCAACTCTGTAGTACAGTCAGGATTTCACAAGCTGTTGTCCATGGATCATCTGCATTAACAACTAAGGTGTTTGCTAAAAATGAATGTTCTGGARTCCAAACAGAAATCTGCTTTGTTAACAAGTTTCCCAGGTGATCTTTATTCATGCTAAAATTTGAGCAAAACAGTTTCAGTAAAATAGAAGTCAACAGAAGATTGGGAGATGAGAGGACACTTTGGCTAATTGATAAATACTATCATAACTACTGTGGGAGGACAAAAAAGGTAGATAAGAGTTCTAAAAGTGTGGTCCCCAGACCAGCAGCATTAGTATCACCTGGGAAATGTGTTAGAAATGCAAATCTGTGGACCCTTCCCCAGATCTACTGAATTAGTCACTCTGAGGTGATTGTGATGCACACTGAAGTTTGAGAACCACTGAAGTAGAAGACACATTCAGTTTGGACACTCAAAGAATATAACCACAAAAATGAGGTATATACATGTGTAGAGTAATACAACACTGGGCAGAAAATGATTGTTGTTAAATAGCAATGCTGGGTAGAAAATGATTGTGAATATAAAGAATTCGTAGCTTATTGTATACAAAACTAAATTTTATCACAGTGTATACACAAAGGTAGCTCTGAAGACGTTTTTTAATGATGAAATATCTATCAGTACCTCTAATCACACTCAGCTAATTAAACTACAAATTGTTTTTGTTTCAGAAGTCAGTAGACATGGGTTCAAATCCCTGCTTTGCCACTTGAAATTTTCTGTGTGCCAGGTTTATTTTCTTCATAGAACTTCTTACTTATTGACTAAAATTACATTTGTATCCACTTACAGATTTGTTGTATGGCATTCCCACTAACATGAAGAGCAGGAAGTTTTGCAAGCTCACTGATAACCGTAGCACCTACAACAATGCCTGACATACAGCAGGCATTTAAATAATTACTAAATAAATGTATTATTTAATTCACATAAGCCTTCAAGATGGGCATTTGCCTGACAACAAAAATTGCCATTTGTCTCACAAGAAAAAAGACTTGCAAAGAGGATAAGTAGGGGCTTGAACCCAGGTCTAAATTTGACATACGACATTCCATGTTGCTTCAAAAGTAACTGAAAGTAATCCATTTGTTGAGCTGTATTGATTACCAGTAGTCCATTAACAATTACAGTCATGAATTGCATCATGAGTTTTGATCAAGGAATAGGCCACATATAGGCTATACCATATAGCGAGGGTAGTGTGTAGCAGGCTACAACATCTAGGTTTATGTAAGTACAAACTATTTTCATTCACACAACAAATGAAGCACTTAGCTTCTCAGAATATATTGCTGTTATGTGAAAGATGACTAGAATTTAAAAGGAAAAAAGTTCTTTTCAATTTAAATGCAAACAATGACTTCGAATCAAGTGGTAATTAATCAGACTAGGTCCTTCTATGGCCAACCCAACATTTACAACAGGTGGCATTAGAGGAAATTCATCTATCTCCTTGGCTAGAAATTTGAGGATTCAATAAGATTTACCATATCAAGACACTGCTTTGATGGAAAGAGTTATATAACAAATGAGACTTTTTTTTTTAAACTGCTGTCTTCTAGTCCACTGTGTCTCAAAGGTGATTATACCATACTTATATTTAAAAATACAAAATGTAAATGACTAGTAATGAAGTCTACAAAATAATAAAAACTTGGCTGGGTAGCAATGGGGTGACTTCTGGAAATTCTGATAGAAAAGTTCACTTACACAGAACAGAGGTGGTCCAAAATAATTTGGTGTGCTAATGTCTATAAAGGAAATACTAATTTTGAATGATTGCCGTTGTAAAGTCAGAGATACTTTGCCATTGATAAATCTCTCAATACACTATGCCTGAAAACATATGAAGATGGAATAGATTAAAAGAGAAGCCAATCCTATTGTAAGCACCATTACATCTCCTGAGAGTTGCACTTTTGGTTTTTGTTCATTTTCTTTTCTGGATTTTATCAATTCTACCTAGATATCTAATTCCGCTATACAAGAGAAAATTGTCCCCAAGTATCCCTCAAATATAAACCAGYTTCACTAAGAAATATACTTCTTTTCACTTAAGTTTTGAGTTAAACAGGACAGAGTAACATTAATAGTGTCCTCTTTAACATAGGTGGATTTCAATTCTGCCGGAACTTGATAAAAAGTATCAAATTTAAAATGTGTCATTCAATCTCCTGCGTCTTTAGTTGTTTGAGATGGGGATGAGTGGGGGTTGGTACTGGGGATCGAATCGAGAGGTGCTTTACCACTGAGCCTCATCCCCAGCTCTTTTTAAAATATATATTTTGAGACAGGGTCTTGCTTAGTTAGACTGGCCTCAAACTTGTGATCCTCCTGCCTTAGCCTCTAAAGTCACTGGGRTTAGGTATGTGACACCACACCCAGCTCCTGGGTCTTTAGTTTTTGTAAGTATATTTCTGGGACATGCAAAACTAAAAGCCTGATCTTGAATTATGAAAACCCAAACAGGAAAAATTACTTTTTTACTTCTCTGTATGAATATTTAGCAGAGCCCAACAGCTTTCATTCTTAGTAAAAGCCTTTTTGATTTTTCACATCTATACTTCATAGTTCTCAATTTTATAAAACATATGAGACATGTTTCAAAATCTATTAAGTATTTTATTCAAGTGCCATTCCCTTGACCTTATCAAAAGAAAGAAAATGTGTCTTTTTTAGCATAAACATGTAATTAAATATTTCTGTATTTGCAGTAAAAAAGATAATGATCTTAAAAGGACAAAAAAAGGCTAAAGTGACTAGATTCAATAAGAATACATGAAAAAGCTCATATAAATTTACTTGAAGTTGAATATTATATGTGAAATCAGAAAGAATGCATATCCTTCTACATTATATTAATAAGATCAGTTGGGGAATATGAGTAAAAAACTAACAATATATAGGGAGGAGCTGTCATCCAAACACTGAATGTCCAGGTGAGTTATTACTCTCAGTGTCTAGTATAATGCAGTAGTAATTAAGACCTTAGGCCTTATAACCAGATTAACATGGTTTAAAACCTCAACTCTACCATTTCTTTTCAATGTAGGACTATAACTTTTTGAAGTTGCTGAATACATATTTAAACTAAAAATAATTAGTTAATAATCTTAAATTCAAATTTAACTGGGCATTCTTTACCTGGATTTTATACAAATTATTTATATGTGTTTATAATTCATAAAATTATTTATAAATTCACTCATCTGAAAAATGGAAATGATGACCATTACTCATGCCTGGCAAAGATGTTGTAAGGATTCAAAGAGGTAATCCATTAAGTGTTTATGTAATTCATAGTATAAGTAGTTATTTAATAAAACTTATGATTGTAAGCCTTCAAAAGATGACATAAAGCACATTGTACTGCAAGTAATCAAAACATACTGRTTGAAAGAATATCCATAAAATTCAACTGTCATAAGGAAGTGAGAAATACAGGCCAATGAAAAAAAGGAAAAAAAGAAAAAAGAAGGTAGAAAGGTAAAAGACTACACCAAAAATAAATAAATTAATTAATAATAATGAAGTATCTCTGACATAAACCACTTATCTGTCTTCAAAGAGACTGGTGTCTAAAACCAAAGGCTACCATGTGGTGCAGTCTCTCTGCAGAGACTGGTGGGTGGCACTTCCCGCTTCCAGATACCCTACACTGGGATCAGTCCTCCCACCCTGGTTCCCTACACCACCCTGAGGGCAGAGGCACCAGCTTAAAACAGAAAGCCCCACCTATTGGATGAGAAGAGAAACAGAAAAGAAACAGATCTCTAAAACGAGCAACAACCCTGGTTTCTTCTTTCGAGTATTTTTTTTTTTTCTCTTTCTCTTCTACCCCTCTATCCTCCGGCCCTCACATACCCAATATATGTGAAACAAAGAACTTTGCATGAAATAGGATTTTCAGGACTGAGTCATAATAATAATATAATATAGAGGTGTTGTATATGCCCTTTTTCCCCCCTCTTTTTTTTCTTCTTTCATTTTTCTTTCCCCCAAATTTTACTATTTTAACATCCTGTATTTCTCTAAATACATGTGTGTGTTTGTTTTATGTACTCTACTATCTTCCCACGTACTTGTCTACCCCAAATTACTTCTTGTCTATTCTCTTGCTACCCTCTTCATTAGATTTCTCTTTCACATTTCCTAAGATAATACTAACTCTATACTCTCACATCTTTCCCCCTCAGCATAATGTCCTACTCCCCACCCCCAGTTCATTGTCCACTGTCAGAAACTGTAAACCTTTACGAAAACTACTGATTATATTTTAGATAATAATTGAACCTAACATTTCTGTACATTGAGACTAAACTGTAAACAACAAATTGTTCATAGGCGATATCTTGTGGATATTTKGATCAGTTAATGTTGTCCTTCTC